GTTTGGTGCTGGGTATACAAGGCATGAAATATGGGAAGTCATTTTTAATCACAGTGCAAAATGCAATCAGTAAGTGGTGATAGGTAACCTCCCAAAGCACGTCCTGTTAGATGATGATTTACCACTGCTTCTCTTTTCTGGAGTGCTCAATATCTGTTTGGATTTCCTGAATATCTGCTTCCTCATCCCATTTTCTAAAATAACTGGTATTTGCATGATTGACCAGCTTGACAGTTGAGGTTTTGTTCAGCTTGAGACTGGGAGAGTGCAGAGCCTGTTCTATGCTTCTGAATAAAAAGGGGAAAAAAGACTAAAAAGACTGAGAGGTGAAGTGGTTAAAATTGTTATATAGTAGTACTTTTGTACATTGAAAGAAGTCTTTGGTCTCCAAAATTCAGAAGTAAAAGCAAAGGCCAAGTGAAAAACTAAGTGAATTATTTAACAAAGCCTATTTGAGGATGACTACATGGTGAAAGATTTGGGGAGCAGAGAAACCAACCAAGATCAATTAGGGCTTCTCTAGAAAAGTTTGCCAGAGTTCTTCCAGCTGTCAGTTTGCTCCTGGAGCTTTGCTCTTTCTTAGCAATGAGAAGGCTCTTCCTAGCCATTAAAACAACACCCCTGATATATTTTATTGATATATACATGTATGCATTCTTGGTTACTTTGTTTTAGTAAACAATGATCAAACAATACTAGAGATAGCTGGTGATGGTTAGGGAGCAGTAATAACCACCTCCCCCTGGCAGCAGCAGATGGTGGTGCATAGCAGCCTTCCTATACAACTCTTATTCTACAACCACATTTTTGGACTGCTGTTGTAGTCATGTGTTTAGTTAAGAAAAAATGTTTCTTCATGGAGAGGGACAGAGGAAGTGTTAAATGTCACAATACACAAAAAGGTATCAGATGTGTCAAACTGACTTTCCCGTTTTACAATTTCCTGTTACAACAGATGTAACCTGCATGTAAGCATTGCTTTATAGCACGAGACGAATCTTGAGAGTTAAAAATAAACACCTTTTTGTGGAGATCTCAGTCGGATTTTAATCTAATTCCTTTCTTTCTCTTGGCATTTGATTTTTAGATCTGTATCTTGGATGCTGATTTTAAAACAAGAAAATGTAGGTGAGGCAGCTGTTCCAGCTGTTACAGTTTTTTCCATTTCAGCTTTCATACATACCCATGTTCTGCAGCCTTTATTGCTTCTATCATCTGTGCTGTACAGCTATTAGGAAAGACATCAATGCATGTCTAACTGCAAACTGTTGCTTTTCTAACAATGACAGCAGGCTGGAACACACTGATACTGACAGTATTTTTAATAACTCGTTCTTTATTTCCTACCATTGTAAACTTAAGTTTCCATTACACAGACATCACAGTTTACATTATTGCTTTTATACTGTGGTAAACGTAGATTTCTATTAGTATGCAGTTATCTAAGCACAGTGTGATAAGGAGAAACTGCCCACCGGCAGCACTCTCAGGTGTCTTTTTCTTTTTCCTCCCCCTCCACCACCCTCTTCCCAAGTGAAAGATGATATACAGACTGGCACAGGAAACATCAGTCCCAAGATAGATCACCACAGCACTACAGCAACACAAAACAAACAGGTATGACCAAAGAAAATTCACTAGTCGTATTTTCAATAATCGTGACTACTGAATTCCCACAAACTTCTTCCATCACAATAATTCCTAAGACGAGGCTAACTAACGTTCTTGTTTTTAAACATTTATTTAAACTAGGATGGAAAAACCTAGGGAATGAATGCTTGGGGTTTGTTCTGTGTTTGTTTTACACCAATGTGTGAAAATCCAAAATTACTCGAGGTGCTTAAATTGGCCCCTTCTCCTCTTGCCCTTTTAGGACAGGACATCCTACTGTCTGCGCTGTCAGATGGCAGAAGCAGCAGTTTTTGTTTATTAGGTAGCACTGTCTTCAAATCACGCTTTCCAATTATGTTGGTTATGTATGAAGCAGTGTGTTCAGTAAATGAAAGACTAGCTTCTACCTTGATTTATAGTAATCTTTCCATATCTCCAGATTACTCTGTTCATGGTGCGGTACCACGTTTGAAGCATATGCTTGAACAAGGGAAAGGGAGGTAGTTTGCTAAGCAGTTGCTACAAGAACAAAAAAAAATAATTAGGGAACCACTTTGTGTTCAGTCTTTTTTTTTTTCCTAAAATGACTGTTACATATCAGCCACGGTGTAGTGAATGCTTGGAAGATGCAGTGTGTTAGCAAACTAACAACACTTACAAGTTCCAATAGGATAATACATGACAGTTAATAAATAAGAGCAAGAGAATTTACCAAGTTTTAACTTGTAAGATTCTTAGAAAAAACTCTGAGCAACGAGTTCTGATGTAAAACAAATTGATTATATCAACTTGCAGAAAGGCAATCTTGAATTTTCTATAGCCTTAGGATTGTCGTTCTGTAACAGAGTTGGTGTAAAATGCAGTGACTAGCAAAACACGGTTCTAAACACTCTTCTTCCCTCCCCTAAATGCAGTTAGACCTCCCCCTGCCCCATCTTCTAGTCACTACCACAATACACTTAGCCCATCGCCAGTGCAAAACAGGGAGAGCTGCTACTATTCTACACACAGTGACTCTCAGAAGCACTGGGGTACTTGATCACACCAAAATACATGCAGGTTCTAACCATTTACTGGGAAACTGTAGTGGAGCCTAGCAAATACTCATCTTAAACAAATACTATGTACGAACTAACGCATTCCTACAGATAGCACTCATCTGGTGAAGGTTGGGTTGACATTTAGTAATTAAAAAAAGTTAATAAAGATGCATTTTACAGAGGGATTTTTGAGATGGTAACAACTCTGTCACTGTCTAGCAAGTGGAAGATGAAATAAAAAAAATGGACATCCGTGTCTGGCAGCAGCAGGAATCTTGTGGTCACTTCTGAAATGTAAAAGATATGCCCCATTTACTTGCAAATGAGATCTACAAGCAATAGCAAAAATCACTGAAGAAGACTAACATGAAAGAAGCTGGGACTAGAACATAGCAGACAGCTCGCTTTCTAGCTGAGAAAAGTGTGCACTTTCTGCTCCTTCCTTCTGTCAGACTTTGGGAATGTCCAATTTGCACAGGGATCAGAGAGAAACGACACCACAGGATCTCAGTTTTCTCAGTGGTGACAATTACAAGACACCAAGTACCTGGGAGCAGCAAAAGAACTGCTGTTCTGCTTACAAGCCATGGTATAACCATACGTACTTGTAACTACCAACAATACTTAGTTTTATTTTTTAATACAATAGTCCAACATAGGTGAGGTAAACCTCTTTCTACCCTGTGCATGGTAAACTCAAGAACTGTTCAACCATTATCAATAACTAAAGTACCATAAAAAAAAAAGACAGAACAGCTCCTGCATATAAATATATAGTGTATACCATGACCAGGAGCTTTCCCACTAATACAAAGATCAGAAATGTTTAAGGGACCAAGAGCAGCTGGGTGGAGGCAGTGCACGAAGTCCCTATTTCTACAATAGAGAATCACATCATTACTGAAGTGAGGAGGCACCTCTGGAGACCCCACGGTCCAACTGCCCCCTGCTTTAAGCAGGGTCACCCAGAGCAGGCTGCACAGAACCTTGTCCACATGGGTTTTTAGTCTCTCCGAGGAGACCTAATATTACATAATATATTAATAAATGTAGTGTTCCTATAGTGTAGCATGACTCATTACATAAAGGGGTTTGTCTCTTTCCTCTCCAGCTCCAAATCTGCGTTCTTCAGGAGCCTCATCGTTATGAGTCATAGTTGTTAATTCATTTACCTGAGATGATTTAAAAATTAAAAAAATAAGCAGGAAAGCTTGTGTTAGCATCAAACTTTTGTGCCCGTGTGCTAGTTAGGTATGTACTGACAGGGTTTTTCCCAAATAACTCAAGCTTCTAAGGCTATGAGCTGGTTACAGAATAAAAATAAAACACTGACTGAATAAAGCAGAAGGCACTTGATTAGTAGTAGGTTTTAGGAAAAGAAGTGATGGTTTTACCAAATCTGTTTAAAGCTGCTTTAAGCAACAATTAGCCAAAATACACACATGAATTCCTATTGATAAGATTGTCTGAGGATGCCAAGGTTAAGGAATGTGTCACAGCTGCATCCTTACATGGAAAATGCATTTTCATTAGAAGTTGGAGTTAATTTTCACAGGATAGACAGGGAAGATGTAATTGTGGTTGTTTTTTTTTTTCATTTTACATAAACGAGTGAACTTTCTAACTCCCTTGTACTCCCCAATCAGAATTCCCCATTATCTGCTAAAAGAAAGGGCTGGCAACAAAGTCAAACATCTTAGATCAGAAAGAATGGAAACGTTTCACAGCAGGAATGCTTTCAGAAAGAGGACCTGATCCTCACACTATCGATTTATGATTCTTTTTCTGTTTGTTTGCAAATGGAGCTTTTTCCAAGCACAGACATTTGCTGGTACAAATCCACAAGCAAAAATCTTCCTTAGCCGGAAGGAATTTGTACTACGTACACCGATACATTGCTGAATTAAGCCCCTTCTCCAAGATTGTACATGACTTAATGCATTCCTTTCATTGCAGAAACAGAACACTGACGAGTGGATGATAGACTACACGTACAGAATGTGAACACAAAGAGTCCAAAACCAGAAACTTCACCTAAAAAAAGCTTTAAAATATACTAATCAGATAAACTTATTAATGAGAAATACCGTGCAGAAGAAATATCTGCTTCAAGTTCTTGCACCAAGAAGTATAAAAGAAATTGAGAGCAAATGATCCAGAGGATCATCAGACAGCCAGGTTAAAAACAAAACCAAACTAAACAACGAGATAAACACACATACAAAAATGTCCTTTGGAGAATAGCATCTAAGAGCTGTAAACAGAAGTTGATTGTCCGAGCTTTGTTAACCCAATTTAACTTGCTTTTTTTCTTTTTTATGCAAAAGAGTTCTATTGTTACACAGTTCATAGTGAAACTTGCAAAACTTGCAACCAAATGCATAATTCCCTTGTTGATGCAGAACCTGATGTGTGCAGAGGAGTTACGGTTTCTTTTTATTCTGCAAGGTTAATATCACATCATAATCCAGTAGAAGGCCCTTAATCTTGTCATGGAATTTTTCTCTGTACTGGTTGAAGTGCATAATACTTTCTGGTTCTTCTTCAAACCAAAACTTATCAAACTCATAAACCAGATAACCTGTGGAGAAAATAAATACAGATCTATGCAAATGAGCTCTGCCATTTTCTGTCTTGAGCTTGTTAGACATACAACGATCCTTGAGACTCTGTTCAACTCCTTAAAATAGTTGAGTGTCTCATCCCTTTTAACTGCAACCTCCAGGGCACTGAAATAATGAATTAAAAAAAAAAAAAAAAAATCTGCAAATACTGAATTTTCAGCCTGCAGATACAGAAAGCCACCTAAATTTATTTCTTAGGTGTGTACTTCTGTAGCATGACGACTCAACGTTGGTTGCAGTTCCAATACCTGATCTTCCTGCAGCCAATGAGGAAAAAAGTGGAAGTGCCCTTCAAAAATAAATCAACCAAACATAAGATTCTCTCTGTAGAATCTACCTCCAGTAACCTGTACTGAAAAAGCCATGGATACTTACAGTAAAATTGATGGAAGTGTTCCATTTGTGGCAATCCAGGGACTACGTTGTACAGATGAGACTTTAAAGCACCATTCTTCAGTAAGCTGTATGCCATTTCAGTCAGATTAATTCCAACTATTGCATAAGAATATCTGCAACAGCAATCACACTTCATTGTTGGTTTTTCTTAACCTTATGTGTCGAAGGACTTAAAAGTTTCCCAGAAACAGATAACACTGCAAGAACTGTAAGAGTCAATTTTTCCTATACTTGTTGACAAGCTAACTCAGACCGACAGGCCCTTTTTCAGTTCCCTATTTCATCTATCCACATAAAAGTGAGCTATTGAAAAACATACAATTTCCTCTACAGTAGTTTTGTAAATGCCTCCATTATTTACTTATTACAGAACAAGTGTCCAGCAAAAAAGATTAGAATCCATAACATCCCTACATGGGATAAACAAGAAGGTGAAAAGTATTCATATCTACATCTAACCTAAGGCTATTAAAAATACAGCTGATATTCCAAGTGTTAACCAGAGCCACTATTTTGCATCGTTTTAGTCCTACTGAGTCTGTTCTAAAAAAAAAAACAACTGTGAATATTTCTGGTTCTGAAAATGATTTGAGTTCAGTTTCTCAAGCTTTTCTACTTTGGCTTCTACTTAAATGGAAAAAAACACAAATATTTTCCTCTTCATTTTCAGAAAAAGTACCTGACAGTCTTCACATGCTCTTCCACAAAAAGTAGCAAGAAAAAGTCTTATGACTTACCCCAGTTTTGGGTGATTTGAATGAGAAAGGATCTGACGAGCTTCATTGGTGTAATGCTTACTAAAATACCTGCCAATGTGAAACAAAACCTTCCATTATTTTTAAGTTCATATTTAAAAAGATTGTATTCAACATCAGCGTGGAGCTTAATACTGCTTTGTACTAAGAACATCACAAAACAAAGACCAAGGAGATGTCGCAAAACTGACTTATATTCAGTCTGAACTGATACATTTTAAAAAAGCAACACAACAGATGTGAAGTTCAGCTAAGTCCAACTAACAGAACAAAGGTATTAAACGTGTTTTTCATTGCAGTAAAACAAAAGCTTTGAGCAAATTACTTTTAAAGCATAACCAATCAAATGGTGCCAAAAACCAGGTGTCTGCAGCAACTTTGTTTCTCCCCTCACCTTCAGCCAACAAGATGTTTGAAGAGGTACAGCTGCTAGAATCACTGATTTATTTTAAAATATTGGTTTTGTCTGTATGTAAACACTATTTCTAATTGCTTTCATTCAGTCTTTATTGAAAACAGAATTAACTAGTGCGAACTCACAGATACTGCAAACTTATTACAGCAGAACTTGTGCAGTTTGGTTCACTTACACCAGGTTCACCAATCCCAGCAGGCCCATTCCTCTGAAGTCTGTTTTGGGGTCATCGCCTTGGAAGCCAATGTCACACCACTGCTTCGTGATTCTGGCCTTCAGATTTTCATGAGGCATCAGCAAATTCCAGAGCTGCACAAACATGTTACCGTGTTATGCACTGCTTTAAAGTATAATAACTCTACAGAAGCAAAGACTTGTTACATTTCCAAAAATAACATCATATTCTGATAGGACAGCAATATACTGAAATATAAATTCACCACAAATCATACTGCACAAATATGGGACTTCCATGACAAGCTGAGTCCTTATGAATGACTAAGAAAATGACATGCTAATGTATTTGCACGCTGGAAGTAATTTTTAAAAGCCTTAAACAGAATTATATCATTTGTATGCTATTACTTCTACTGATAATTGAATACTGAAAGACAGAACAGTCCTCTTCAACACTGATGCTGTAATAAGAAATCACCAAGTGGGTTGATTTTTTAGTTATTAGGTAACTGTTAGCTGAGAAATTTATAGAAGCATGGGTGAAGTTGTACATCTTTTCAGTTAAGATTGTTCAGTGACCTTTAGAAAAAATAGTCTGCTGCTGGTGCTCTGTCTGATTTTACAGCAAATGATCCCAGTGCAGGCAACTTTTGTTTACTCACTTGTTTTGCTACGGCATTTTATTTTGATGAGTCTATAATGGCTTAACAGTTTGCAAGTGGAAAAGTGTTTTCATTAGGGTAGCTGTTTATAGTGCTACTTTTAAATCAAGTTCATTACAACTGCTGGACTTGATGGTGGGGGATGGGTACGGCTTTTGCTTTTGGTTTGTTGTTTTTCTTTTTACCTCAATTAACTGTTCCTCGTGTTCTTCATTATCCGAATCATATGTGACCTTCCTCAGATTTTCCACATCCAAGTAAAGTTTTTTATAACCTGTTATCTGCAGTAAGGACATATGCAGATTTGTCTTAAACCTGGAATAACAACAAATAACAGAAGCTATTAAGAGGGATAGTTAGCCATAAATTCTTGCCTGAACAACATTAAGATAAGTCCCAAGCACAACATAAATGTTAAAAGGGTCTTTACATTTACATTTCATACTTCAGCATCCTGGTATTGCTATTTGGATCCATTTCTACTTATAAAACAGCTAACTGATTTCAGAGCTGCACAGTCAGGACCTCTTTACTTACAGGCATGGAAGTAAGGCCCCTCAGCTAAAATCTCTAATGACACAAAAACTCCACACATCATCCTGACTTCTGTACCTCCACCTGTCCCCAAGCTTTTTGTAAACCTCAATCCAAACTATGATATAAATGCTACAACTTCAAAGACAAGTTTCATTCTGAGTAGTCAAAATTCTAGTTCAGGTCTTGCCCTCAATCGCTCCTAATTACTTCTGCAGAGGAGTGCAAACTATAATCCGACATCATTATATTCTTTCAAATGTATCTGAACAACCACAAAGTTCATGTCACAACTTCTATGATAATGCTACTTACAAGCAAGGAGTAACACAAGTGACCTGTGAGATACAGAGGTGGTAATCACAAATTCATGTCAATTTAAACTTTACAATCTATTTTCCAGAACTTCAGCAGGACACAGCTGTACCTTATTTTCTAACCCTACAGAAAGGCTTGTGCTGAACTCTCCACTGACTGTATCAGACCAAGCAACAGCAGGAATGTGATAAGTCAGAACTGTTGGCCTTGAAGATCCCACATCAAACTTCCAAACGTACCTCATATCCTTCTGTTCAATTTTCTTTTCTTTCATTACATCTTTGACACACTTCTCTATTTCAGTTTCACCAGCGTTTAGAGCATTTCTTAGAACCTAAGAAGTTCACAGAGTAAAAGACCCATGAAGAATGCAGAAATTAATGCAGAAAATTATCATCTGTTTTACTTTTGTTACTTCTCAGTCTCTGGATGCCTGTCACATGACTATTCTTTAAAAACTATGAAAAGAGAACAGTCGGTAAATTGAAAACGTGTATGATAAATGTGCTCAAATCACATACAAGAAGATCTTCAATAATTAGTTTAATTATTAAATTTTTTCAATAAAAACATGTAATTTGTAGGTGACCCACAAAAAATAAAACACCCAAGTTTAGGTTCTTGTTTCATAGAATCACAGAATGGCCTGCGTTGAAAAGGACCACAGTGCTCATCTAGTTTCAACCCCCTGCTATGTGCAGGGTCGCCAACCAGCAGACCAGGCTGCCCAGAGCCACATCCAGCCTGGCCTTGAATGCCTGCAGGGATGGGGCATCCACAACCTCCTTGGACAACCTATTCCAGTGTGTCACCACCCTCTGTGTGAAAAACTTCCTCCTAATATCTAACCTAAACCTCCCCTGTCTCAGTTTAAAACCATTCCCCCTTTTTCTATCACTATCCATCCTTGTAAACAGCAGTTCCCCTTCATGTTTGTATGCTCCCTTCAAATGTTTGCCTTCAAAGGCTGACCTGAAAGAGGATCTTCCTAACCTCGATCTAAATAAATGCAGCTATCAAGGAACAAAAGTGACAAAACTTCAGTAAAGAAATAAATGCTTCAAAATTAGCAGATGGGAAACTAATGAAATTGAGGTACAAACCCTGAACTGAAACAACAGACTCAGTACAAAATTCTGCCATTCTACAGCCTTCTAGAACAAAGGGCAAGCACTAATAATAACTACACTCTGCCCATCTGATGTCACTTAGCGACTACTTTATTTCTTCTTCTGAAATTCTCGTGGTCGCAGTGCATTCTTAATACAATTAACGCTCACACCAACGCTGTTCTGTTTCAGTGAGGGCAGAGGTAAGTCCTTTAGAACTGAACTGAGAGACGCTCGAAGACCCATCCATGCTGAGTGTCACTGAAGAAATATACATTTGAGGATGCTGAGTGTTAACTACGATATCTAACTGCTAAGGAACACTCAGTACGAGCCTGTTAGTTAAAAGCCTACCTGCAAACTTGCACTTTTCCTAATGATTAGAGAAAGTATTGTACAGGTGGCACAAAACCGCTCTCTATCACTTGCCTATGTCCCATTGCTGGTTTCTGCAAAACCAGCCTGGCAGACTGCTGTGACAGGGAGAAGCGACCTTCTCCACAATGAATAACTCAGTGCCATGACTTGTCTGACTGCTGCTGAGGAGCGATGGAGGGACGTGGGGTTATTTCTGAAAGGCACGCGATTACCCCTGGCACACAGCACCCAGAACAGCGTTCTTCTCCCTCCATCTCTTCCTCCTCCTCTTTCTTCCTCCCTCAAAAAAGCATTTTCAGGCACCTGCCTCTGAAATAAGGTTGATAATAACACATAATTACCTCGATTTTTTCATAATTTTATTATTATTTTTAATAATTACCTTATTTTTTGATGATCCCAGTGAATGTTCTGCAATGATAACACAAGAAAAGTCACTTACATCGAACTGGTTTGGTTTTATTAGTTCGTAATAGGCGTACTCGTATTATTCTGAGTAATTTTTGGGTGACACGGGTAGGGCGATATTAAAACCAACAGGTATCGAGCGACCGAAAGCCTTAAACCACGGCCGTCGTTGATGGATGTTGCTGCGGTACTGAAATCGGACCGGCATTTGGCGGCATGCGACCCGCCTCCCTCCTCTCAGAAACGAACCAGTGTATTGTTTTATTGCGTGGCTTTTTTTAACGGCGTCAGGGTAACAACATCAGCGAACGGCACCGGCTTCCCCTCGGGATGAAGCAGCGAGGGCGGCCCGGCGGGAATCCCCTGAGGCACCATCCTCCATCCCGCAGCGCGCCCGCAGTGACGTCATCACGCACACGCCTCCGCACGCGCTCCCGCGGCCGCCCCCCCGCCCCCGTTTACCTATGCCCAGCGTCCTCCGCGCGCCCTCCTTCGCGCCCTCGCAGACGCGCTGCAGCTCGCACTTCCCCGTCAGCAGCCGCCAGAGCCACTTCAGCCAGAACCGGAAGTAGCTGCTGTACAGGAACCCCCACAAGCGCGCCAACATCTCTGCCCGCGGGGAGCTCCCCTCGCCGCGGAGCCGCCGGCGCCCCTCAGCCCCGCGGGCCGGCAGCGCTCGGCGCCCCGCAGCCTCCCGCCGGAAGCCGCCCGGTGCCTTCCTGACCTGGAAGTGATGCCGGGAAGGGGGGGACGGAAGTGCCGGCTGCGGGGCCGCCGGGGAGCGGCGGCTGAGAGGGGAGGGCGGCGAGGTTCCCGCCGCTGTTGCGGACCTTGCGCGGCCGCCCGTCAGTCGTGGGCGTGATGGGGATGGGCTGGCGGTGGGCTAGGTGATCCTAGAGGTCTTTTCCAACCTTAATGATTCTGTGGAGCTTTCTTCGCCACAGGATCGGCCCAGGTGTTTGGTTTAGTACTGGCAGGCACCTCCATTGTCTTATTATGAATGGTTATTTTGGTAAACATGGGCTGAGCCTTCAAGAGCGGCAGAAAGGATTTCTGTTCCTTTAAACTGTATGCAGAATTTGATCGGAGAGCAGAACGGGAGCTGACAGACTGGCTTGGCCACATTCTAAGACGTTTTTAAATGGGTGGAAATAGAAGCACCTTTTGCACAGAATCACAAGCCACATGGCAGGTCTGGTGGCCTGCATCCCAAGGGTGGTTCCAAGGGTGGACCAACACATTTGGCATTGCCCCTTTGTATTTTTGCAACCACAGGGATGCAGAGTTTCATGTGGGGGAATCACTGAGAGGTCAGCTTCAGTTGTTTAATTTCAGGCTTAACATGAGTCAGCAGTGTGCCCTTGTGGCTCGGAAAGCAAGTGTTATCCTGGGCTCCATCAGAAGAGGGGTGGCCAGCAGGGACAGGGAGGTGATTGTTCCCCTCTAGTCTGCTCTTGTGAGGCCCCATCTGGAGTACTGCATCCAGGTCTGGAGCCTCCAATACAAGAAGGACAGGGAGCTGTTGGAGAGGGTCCAGAGGAGGGCCACGAAGATGATCAGGGGACTGGAGCACCTCCCCTATGAGGACAGGCTGAGGGAGCTGGGCTTGTTCAGCCTGGAGAAAAGGCTGCGGGGTGACCTCAGTGCAGCCTTTCAGTACCTAAAGGGAGCCTACAAACAGGAGGGGAATCAACTCTTTGAAAGGGTAGATAATGCAAGACAAGGGGAAGTGGTTTTAAGTTGAGGGAGGGGGAGATTAGGTTGGACAAGCTCTTTACAGAGAGAGTGGTGAGGTGCTGGAACAGGCTGCCCAGAGAGGTTGTGGATGCCCCGTCCCTGGAAGTGTTCAAGGCCAGGCTGGATGGGGCCCTGGGCAGCCTGGTCTAGCATTAAATGAGGAGGTTGGTGGCCCTGGCTGTGGTGGGGGGTTGGAGATTCGTGATCCCTGAGGTCCCTTCCAACCCAGGCCATTCTGTGATTCTCTGATTTCAGGTCTGATTCCCACTCTGTGGGGAGATTCCTTAGATATAAGGAAAGAATCTTTTACAGTGAGGGTAAGGGTGGTGAGGCGCTGGAACAGGTTACTTAGTGCTGTGGTGGATGCCCTGTCCCTGGAGAATTTCAAGGCAAGTCTGGATAAGGCCCTGGGCAACCTGATGCAGCTGTGGTCTCCCTGTTCACTGCAGGGGAGTTGGACTTGAGGACCTTCAGAGGTTTCTTCTAACTCTAAGGATTCTTTGGTTCTATGAGAGGTGGTGTGTCTTAAGAGATGGCAGGTGGTCATTCATTTTTTCCAGTGTGGCTTCTTAAATGAGTCATCTGACTCTTAAAACATTGGAGCGCTACAGGATAAAAATAAACTAGAAAGTATTTCTCTTATTTGGCGATAGGAGGGTGTGATGGTTGTTGTCAGAACGATCTTTGCTTCAGCAGCAGTGCTGTGTTACAGTTTGGGAAGACGGAGGAGTTGCAATGATGTGAAGAAATGCGGGTAAGAAATTGAAGGGTGGTCAGGTTCTTCCTGTCAGTCTCCATGCCCACACATTGATTGCTCTGAGATAGCTGATGAGGAGCAATAGCGACTGGATTTAGTTCGAAAGTCCAGCAGGTGCATCCTCACAGTGTGGGTCTGTGCAAACGACGTGTAGGGAAATCTCAGCAGATGGCAGTTTTGTTGGTGGGTACCAAAATAAAGCCTTCCTACAGTCTGGTTTAGGAGTTTAGTTTTCTGTAGGGTATTTTTAATTACTCGGAAATATCTTCGTATCAGTATGGTTCCTTTTTTCTTTCTTTTCAATTATGTTATTTATGCTTACATAGAAATCCCTTTTTGTATGGATTATTAAGAACTAAAGCCACGGCTTTTTGTACTACAGGTGTTGGAAATTGTTCTGCTTTGTCTTGTGGTAATCTTTAGGTATTCAGAACATGCTACTGTTGTCTTAGTCAGTTCTGACTGGAAAGAGTACGTGATGTTGATGATAGATTATGTTTAGACCTGTTGCGTTAAGCATAAAAAATGCATAGGTCTTGTTTTAAAGTGCTTCTGAAATGCACAAGTGTACAAGAAACAAGTTTTAATCTAACTTATTATTTTTTTTACTCATAAAATATATTAAAATCTGCATTTCAAGCACAAGCTGTAACCAATTATTACTTTAAAAACAGAGCATCATTTTTGATATTTTTTCACAGCTTTTTATGAATTATTAAAAAGATGCAGTGCCTAATTACTGTAAATATGGCAAAAGATAAAGGTGATAATATATAAATCAGGGATTTCATGCTCATAAATGTCACTTTCTGTTCTAACCTTGATGGTCTTTTTCAGTGTCTAACAAGCAAGTGTAAGCTTTTAAGCTTCATTTGGTCCTTTATGCAACTGAGTAATCTAGCAACGAACGTCTGATAACACAATTGCTACTGGTTGAACTGATGCTTCTGCATCACAGTGTTCAGTCTGCATCATCAGTTACATTAGGTCATTCAACAATGTAAAAGGTAGCTTAAGAAAACAATCCTGATTTCTTCTTTTTGTGTTCAGTTGGTGCCTTCTGCTACAACCTTCAGAGAGACTTAGGCTTAAGGAAGGATAATGACCTACTGTTCACCTTTTAAAACTACATTTCTTAAATGACAGCAGGGCAAATACTTTAGCCAGCAGTATCAGCTGGATCTCTACAGTCAGAAAGCGTTCCATGGCAGTGACTGTTACCTATTGTTACGGGTAGTTATTCTTTGTTTGTGTACCCTTGGAGATGAAGGACGGCAGCAACGTGCAAGCAGAATAATCCTGTTAGTTCTTTCACCCATGAGCCTGTGTTTTGTCAAATATTTATTTTAATCTTTCTTATCTCTATTCTTGCTTTCACAGAGATATGTGAAAATAGTACCGAAAATGCAACTTATAAGAAAAGACGTTCAGTTAAAGCACACGAGGACAAACCTAGAAATCCATTCTGGCAGGTAAACCATCTCAGTGGAACCAGCCTGCTGAACTGCTGGCTCAGTAGAAGCGGTAGGGTTACCCTGTGGTAATGTGTTCTACTTACCTGTTCTTAGCAGTTGGCTGTTTGTTTGTTTTTTTTTAATTATCATCAATTATCATTATCAAAATGCTGCTGAGAGTTAAGAAAAGGAAAATAAAAAAGCACATTTTACACTGGTCTCGAGTAGTTCTTGAAAATATGCAATGCATGAAGGGAGCACTGGGAGGAAGATGTTAGGAAAACATGAAGCAAGTAGGAGAGGCTACTTGCAAGCAGGTCCTGAGGCAGTGGAAGTATTTTATGTTTCCAATGATGAGGTATTTGGATTTATTATTTTTTTATAGAAGCAGTTAATGTATTACCTCATCTAAAGTTAATACACCAGTCTTGGTCAGCATAGAGTGAATGATCATCACAAGTCAGCATGGCTAAGTGTCTGCTCTAGAGTTGTCCTTAAAAATAACATCTAATGCATTCAGATGTTCTCTGTACAATATGCAGACTGATCAGTAGCTCTGTGATGGTGATGCTTTTCTAACGGCTGTGAAAAGAAACTAAAATGTATGCTAGATTTCTGCTATTCTTGTCTTCAGTATCCCTCCATCATATGCATGTTCACCTTGGCTTGGTAACGTAAGCACACCAGGCAGCCAGCTTATAGGCATTCAATTCATTGTGTATGACATACTTAATGTTTATCTGTTTCTCATAGGACTACACATCTATTTTACTAATAATGTGTCAAAAACTGCACTGATCTTCCAGTAAGAAGAGTGTGTTGAGCTTTTCATGTGTTAAGAGAGAAGTGGCAGTGAGGAGGCAACAGAGCATAAGAGTGCTGAGTCGTAGTCACACTGGTTAATAACAAGAATTGCAGACACTTAAAGCAATTGTAATTTAAAGAAGATTTCTCAGTAAAAATATCAAAGCAAGATACAGTGAAGGAACAGAAGGATAACAGAAGGAAGAGGGTGGTGTAGTGACTGAGTACAGATCAGGAAGAGTAAGTCTAACTTCAGGTTTCCAGGTGATTCACAGAGCCATACTCAGAACTGAAGTTTTCTGTACACAGAAACAGGCCACCTAATGGTCCCTTGTGCTATTAATGAATAATAAGATTTGTAACTCAAAGTATCTATTAAATGGAGAAGTAAACCTGTCCATAGAAATGTTCTAACGCAGGAAGGCCCTAACCTAACTAAAAAATGACTGATTTGCATGGGAGGTAGACCTGTGAACAGCTGTTGAGCATGTCATAGTGAAAGCCAAAAACTGCTCACGGATAGGCGTGAAAATGATATTTTTTTTTTTCTCATAGAACCTCGTGGCTCCATTAAAACCGTGTCCACAGAGCAGGATCTGGGAGGCTCTGTAAGCAGGATTTCCCTTCTTTTAGACTATGGGAAAGGTGTTCTGCTTGCCAATTGCTCAGAGTCATAGACTGGCTTGGGTTGGAAAGCACCTTCTGGTTCCACCCCCCTGCCGTAGGCAGGAACACCTCCCCCTAGAGCAGGTTGCTCACAGCCCCATCCAGCCTGCCCTTGAATGCTTCCAGGGGAGGAGCATCCACAACCTCACTGGGCAACCTGTTCCAGTGTCTCACCGCTCTCGCAGAAAAGAATTTCTTCCCAATATCTAGTCTGAATCTACTGATTGAGTTCAGACCTCAGCTGAAAGCGCGTCTTTCACCCAAGTCAGGTTCTTCTTCAGCATCCAGTGCCTCCATACAGCAACACGATGAATTCCAGCCACTGCATACGGGTCTGCTGGTTTGCTTACAGAGCGCCAAGGACACGCAGGGGAAGAAAGAGGTGTGTGTCACCTAATGGCTGCCACATGTACGTTTACGTGTGTGCTTTAGATGTCATCCAGTTACATTTTGCCTCACTTTCGCAACAAGGTGGTAACCGGCAGGCTCTGTTTCCTTAAGTGACCGAGTACGTTGCAGCTCGACCTCTTGGTACAGTTGTACAAGGAACGTGCCACCTGCACCGTTGGTTCTGAACGCCTACAGACAAAGCAGCGTCGTAACCACCAGCAACATAACCGCGTCGATGCCGGGATTCGAGCTGACAGCCGGGGCTGAGAAGCAGCGGCGGGGCCGTTAGCGCCCGAGCCGGGCGGGTGCCTCGCTGCCTGAGGTGGTGGGGGGGGCCGAGGGCGGGCGGCTCGGAGCGGACACGCCCGTCGGGCGAGGCCGGGCGGCCGGCGGGTAGCCGGGCACAGGAGGCGGGAGCGCCCCGCCGGGAGATGCGGCTGAGGAGCGGCCGGCTGCTGGCTGCGCTGTGCCTGGGCGCCGCCTTCCCACTGCTGTGGTACGCGGCGTGGCAGGGGAGCCGAGGTGAGAGCCGCCGTCGGGTGGAATGGGAAAGCCGATGCTGTTTTCCGCAAATAAACTGGAAATCTCTCCCTAATGCCTTCAGGGCCGGTAGATGGCTCGTTATGGGATAGTTCGCTTGGGATGGGGGGAGAAAGGGTAAGTCTTGAAGAGCTGCACGCTTTCAAAATGGGCTGGATTTACGGGTGCAGAAGATTTAAAGCAAGCCAATTAATTACACAGAACTCCTCTCATCTGCTCCGTTTTGCTTACATTGATCGTTTTTGTGAGTGATAGAAGTGGACTTGCAACCCAATGCTGAATATTGCTGATCTTCCTGCCTGTGTCAGTTGTTGTCAACCTTGCAGCGCTTGACGCTTCAAGTGGCAGTTCTGACAAGAGTGGGGTGGGAGAAAGTACAAACAGACACGTCTGAAGAAACTGAGATCCAAGAGGTGATAGAGTGCCTGTCAGCGTTCTGTTGCGGCATGTGTTTTGTGACACCTTTGCTGAAATGCCATTTTTATTCAGCTTCCTTTGTGCCCCTTCTCTGCTGGTGTGCTGTGGGTTGGTTGGTTCGTGCCTTTTTATGGATGTGTTTATTCTTCCTTTTATCTGTATATTGATTTCCACAGATGGCTCCTTCTCCATAGCCAACTCCTCTCAGGTAATATAACTTTCCTAGTTATTTGAGCACCTGTGTTATTAACAAGGTTTTAATCGTTCTGAATGTTAATACAGTGCTCGGAAGCATTCTCTCTTGAACTTGGTACATCTCACAGATGTTGAAAAAGTTAATAATGTTATCTAAAGGAGCATATGGTAAGTTAGTTTGTGCTGGTAATTTCACTGGAAAGATGCCATTCGTGCTCCTGAGCATTGCTAGAAGACAGCAGTCTCCCAGTTGGAACCCCACAAACCACCACGTGTTGTTCCTTTTTTTTTTTTTTCCAATGGGAGAAAGATCAGGAGCAAACCAAACACTGCCCTACTGTCATGACAGAAGATCTGCCTAAGCATGGGCTTGAAGTGAATGCTTCTTCCTGCAGCAGGCATTTTTACCTCTGCTCAGATATTGCTCAACCTCTCCCCCCGCCCCCATTGAACTTCTTGAGGTACACCCAGGGCACTGCAGGAGTTCTGCTTTCCTCTCATCTCAAAGGTGATCTGTTTGTTTCCTAATGCCTTTTTCACTTACCTCACCTGTTATGAGAGGTCAGGTGCTGTTCGATTGCTCGTCAGCTCTCATTTCTTTCACCAGTTTGTCAAATGTGCTTCGTTAGCTCATTTTTTTTTCCCAACCTCCACTTGCTTTTTTTGCTTATCTGATGTGCCTGTTAAAACATTCAGGCTGATCTTGGTCTTTGAAGGGTGCATATCACATGAAGTATGCCCTTTGCTTTCTGGTCATCTATGGTTTCTTGAGTTGTGGTGACATTGAGGTTGTAAATGAGCCTTTTTGGTTTGTTCTCTAACAAGGCATCCCGGCTCAAAAATAGTGATTTGATGTACTCTGATAATACAAGCAGCATCTGATAGCCTTGTATACTGCTGTGCAGTTTGTTTGTAGCCTTCCAGCCCTTCGGTATTAGATAGAAATGTGAATCAGACTCCGTCCTGATTTCAGTGCAGCTCAAAACTAGAGACCTTTAAATGCCTGGTACTAACGTGCTAGTTACCTGGGGAGATTCTGATTAAAAGGGTGAGAAGTAATGCAACTACAGGTAACATGAACTGGCATGGCAGGGACAATGTTCATCATCACTTCCACCCTTAGAAATGAACATTTAGGATCTGACAGAGTCGCTAAGCTTCAGTGGTTTGGGACTTTGATTCTTGCCTCTAATATTATAAACATTTTAACTATACTTGAAAAGTTTTCTCATTCAGTTTTCCCTTACTTTATAAACAGGTACAAGCAGAGATTTCAGCTTCAGCAGGCTGACTGCTTTTTGTAGCAGAAGAATGATAAAAGTTATTACAAAGACAATTGATAATGGCCACATCTGCAGCAAATCATGTTACAGTTTGTCTGTCTAAACTTGTATGGTGATTCTTTTATCATTCTCTAGAATGCTCACAGATGTGGGCTGCCATTACCAACCAGCCTTGTTGACTGGTGGAGCAATACCTGTCCCACATCCTGTGTGGTTTGGATCTGAGTTTTTTGGTCCCTCCCAAGGCCGTAAGCAAGACCTGTCTGAAGCAAGCAGTTTGCATCTGAGGGTAGGGAGGGCTGTGACCAGGATGATGCAGATGTTCCTGCTGTTACACAACTGAGTTACAAATCTGCTTATTAATTCACCTGCCAGAAGTACATTCCTTCATATAAAGACTCATGAAAATGTATAGTTATGGAAAATAGTTTGTGTGTTAACAATGTATGTAGTGAGTGTACACTTGTACAGTTTCAGTTAGGGTCTTGCATGTAATACCACAGGTGCATCAGAGTAGGAGAGTAAGTCTAAGAAGGTAACAAATCTTTTTTGCAAGCCCAGAGTGCATTATAAATTCATTATGAACTCGCAGGAAATTTGTTCTCTGAAAAGACTATTCCCAAATTAGAAGTAACCTCAGTGATGTGACAAGTAACAAGGGATTTACAGAAGCCATGGCAATGGGATGAATAGAATCGTCTCAAGTGGCAGTGCTTCTTAATGGTGCTTGTGAAAATAACAGCATTAGATCAGTTTGAATTGATTTAAAGTGTACTGCTACCCTCTTCACCTAAATTTGTGGGATAATTAATCCAGGTGCATTAATATTTGCCTGGAAGTTAGGATAAGGTGATGGTAAGATATGATGTCACATATAAGCATATTAATATATATGTGCAAGCATGTTGAGATAAACTTTGTAAAGCCTGGATTTCCATAGTTATTCCTTTGAGATAAGGGAAAGAAAAGAAGGAACTGTTCACGCTTAGGCACGTTCACAGAAGTATACTTAGGGTCTATCAGAGTTTAATATATTAAATGTTTCGGTATTTCACAAAGCTCAACTTCAGAGAGAAGAGGTGCAAAGGGTTAAAAAGATGTTTCTGCTGAATGTCACTTGTTTGCAGCTGAAGTAATGTAAAGTATATGCTAGTACAAACAGCAGATTACATGTTTCTTCTTTTTATTTCCAATAACCTTTTGTACCTGATGTGACACGTGGCTTCTGCAGCCCAGCCCCTGCAGTGCACCCAAGCAGAGCTCCCCATGTGATTCTGTGGATTGTGATGGAGCTCTCTGCAGGTTTCCTGTCCAGACCTAACTGGCATGCTCTGGCTTAAAGCTTCAATTAAGCAGTGGCAAAACAACGTTTACTGAATGTTTATGGAGACCAAACAGTGAGGCTGCGTTGCAAAATAGTGTTTTCGTAGCTGAGAATTTGCTGTCAAATATTGTTGCTGTGCTCCTCGTATCTGTTGTAGTTTCTGTGGAAATAAAGAGGGGGTGTTATTTTCAGAGTTACCTATGTGTAAAGAAGTTATTGCACATGCAGGTTTGCTCAGCATGCAGTCAGGATGTGACTGAAATGCACAGTGTAGTAAGGAAAGGTGCTCTTCCAGTCCCTAGACTGCTTACTCAGTTTCCTTGCGTGCTTCTCCATTGAAGTATTTAAAATAAAATAAAAACAAAACAGAGCAACCTTAAGTGGAACTTGAGGCTCAGTATTACTGATCACATGTTTTATACCAAAATTCGTACCTGAGACTTACTGAAGTTGTATAGTTTAACTGGCTTCTAAATGTGTCATTTACTGAGTTAATAGTCTGCTGCTTTTTGCTGTTAATTTAGGTGGAATAGTGGCTGCCTTGTCCTTAAAAGTAGAGGAAGGAGTAGAGTCATAAATTCTGCAAAGGTTCAGGTACAAAATTAAACTGGTTACTGTTATTATTTGTAGAGGAAGAGGTAAGGAAAATTACTGACTACTCGTTGTTTGCTGTGTGTGTATCATCACAACGTGTACTTTAGTGTAAACACGTGACATTCATGCTTTCCTCGTGTTCCACACTCAATCTTGAGGGACAGTTTTATCCCAAAATAATTTATTTCGTTGGTATGCATTTAATAAAGTGTGATTATAAGTGGGTGATTGTTGCTACATCAGGCAAACCAGTACAAATTTTAAATTAGTAACCAGAATGAAGCAGTAACCATTTAATTATCCAAAGTAGTGAGTGCTACTTATTTATTTGATAAAGCCCATATTCAAATCAGAATTTTCCACTGCTATTAAGAACCTTTATTGTGTTGCTGACCTCACTATATTAAAACCATACCAATTATGTGCAAACACCATGGTATATCCATTTGATTTATGTTTCTACTTATTTTAACACTCTTGCTTTCCTACATGGAAATGTTCTGATTATTTTAAAATTCCTTCTTTTATGCAAAAAAAAAAAAAATCTCAGATCTAAAGTGAACATTGTTTACTGATGTCTTAGAAAATATTATCAAAACCCGTGTTTTCTCTGAAATGCTTGCTTCTCTATTTTCAGTTAGATACAGTACGTAAATGGGCTTAGTAAAATGTGTTCCCTGCCAGAAACAGCAGCAAGTCTTTACTCATCATACAATTCATTTTTAAAATTCAGTAATTAACCTTGATCTGCCTTTTACTTTTTTGAGGTTTATTTTATCTCGTTTGTTCATTTTAGTATTGTAAAATGATTTTGATGCTCTTCCTAGATGCTCTATGGAGGAATCCTAGCTTCTCGCACAAAACTGCTGGCACCCTGCTTTTATCTGCTGTCACTGCGCTAATAAAATGTTCCTCCACTGTCCTGAAGCTCCTAATGTGGATGTAGTCAAAGACAAGTGGATGCAGCACGCTGCTTCCCAGTTACTTTGCTCAGCTAGGTGCCTGTACAGCGAGCAGTAGGACACGGTGAGAGAACCCTTGGGGTGTGTTAAGCCACATGGTTTGGCCTGCTAAGGTCACAGGTACAACATTACTGCATTACAGTTGGGCAAAGGTTTCTGTCAGCCAACTGGATGTGTCTGAATTTTCTCCTACTGTCTGGACCCTGCCATACTGATAGTCTCTGCAGTGTAGATGCTATTAGGACATAGGTGACTGGAAACACCAATCAATCAGCCTTCCCTTTTCAGCTGCATAAAATAAACCACCATGAGCACTGATTGGCTTCAGAGGCTCTTAAAGATTTCAGATGTACGTTAAGATGTGCTGTGTCCCGTGTCTAAAGCTAAACATGTGAAGCTACCCCAGTTCCGTTCAAGGTTAAACATAAGGGGTGAACATACCCAGCACAGGTGAAAATACCTTTGATAACATGGTAGATTTCTGTGCTTATCTCTAGCCTACAATAACTGTGTTGTAATACTATAAAAAAGATATTTGAATCTTATGCAGAAATTCAGGGAGGTGTCCTTACCTGGAAGGGTGCTCATGTGCCCTTGGACTTTAGCACGTTATTGAATCGAGTGTTTGTATTAGAACTGATTGTTCAAAACTAAGAGACATTGTTTGCAGGATTTGTCTTCCTAATTTTAGGAAAACAAAGCCGAGCTTGTTACACGCTTTGCAAGATTCAGAAATCTTGGTATTCTGTTCTAGTTTAGATCAGTTACAGGAAGACAATAAACCGCCACAGTTATTAGTGCTATGCATGCCTCAGTGGTTTAATGTGCCTCATTAACCTGAGCAGGGAGCAGTGATTCCAAGTGAAGCTAATGGCAAGATCCTTTGCAGTTTGTGTGTGTATATTTAGTTCCCTTTAAAGAAGGCAGTCTCCAGAAGAAAGTGTCTGTGTTTGGCAAAGAGTGTAGCTTGTAATCAAAAATAAGAAGAGTAACTGATAGAATATGGGGTGTTTTCTTGTTTTCTTCCACCGTTTCTGGCACTCCTGATTTTCCTTTAACCCTTTTTTTTTTTTTTTTCCTTGAGTGGGAGGGGATGTTGATGAATTCTTCCAGAGCTTTATATATTCCAAGAAATCTATTGTTAATAATGGAAGCATTTATGATGATAGGAAGTTATGTGTATGGATGGAGGTGAGATAAATAATTATTAGACTTTCAGCATGAGTATGTTTTAGAGATGAGCACTGTTTCTTTACAGTTTCAGTTGCCAGTGCAGAAAGTTATATTTATGTATGTATTGGGAGATAACACAAGACTGTAGTTAAGCCAATTTGAGCATTACCTTCGTAGATCTACTGCACTCATAAATATACATGACAGTATGGTAAACAGAAGAAATACTGTAGCAGAGTTGAAGATTCATTGAGAAGCTTTGAATACTGTCTCTGAATCTGGCTGATTTTTTTTTTTAATTTCTTTTTTTTTTCCCCCCTGATTTTTAGTCAATGTAACTTCACTGAAATTCTTAGGAGGATTTCTTCAGCACATCAAAGTTTTTGCCAGTTCCCCAAGGAGAGAGGAAACATTTATATTTATTTATTTTTTTGTAGTTTTGTCACAGGTCCTCCTAGAAGGATCATAGAATCATTTGAGTTGGAAGAGACCCTTGAAGGTCATTTAGTCCAACTCCACCACAATGACCAGGGACACCTACAGCTCGATCAAATTGCCCCATCCAGCCTGACCTTGAAAATCTCCAGGGACGGGGCTTCCACCACCTCTCTGGGCAGCCTGTGCCAGTGCCTCACCACCCTTATCATAAAAAAAAAAAAAAAAAATCGTGAAAGATTTCTTGCTACTTTGTTTTTTTCACCCCACAGTCCCAACCAGTTGAAGATAGAAGCCTTCAAAGAGGAGGTCCTGCTAAGCAACGCTATTGCTGGGGACACACGTAGTGCTTCATGATGTATTTGAAGCTTCTTCCTCCTGGCCCTCCTTGCCTTGCCTGAGTTATATTCATGGAAATGCTCTGTGGTTCTTTCTAACCACTGTTTTGGTTCTATGTGGATACTTAGAAACCTAGAGCAATGCTTTCCACATGCATGCTAGAATTCATTTCAACTTAATGACCATTTAGTATTTAGAGCATTTTAGCTTCATAGTATTTCCGATTTTATCTTCATAGTTTGCTAAACTTATATCAGTAATAAATTTTGATTGTGTCTTCTTACACAGCAAAGTACAGAAAGTTCAGTGCTGCTTTCCAAACTTTTTTTGCCCTCCCCCCAAAGTATAACTAATAGATGGTATTGCTTATTTATAAATAATCTAATGGCATGTTATTTCATGTTCCAATTTGTGTACAATTACATACTCATTAAGGGTGAGCAAATACTACATTCCTTTTGTCAAACCTATATTTCCCCAACTGTTGAAATTAAGTAAGTAGGTCAAGACTTGTAATGGCTGAACTGAACGGAGACTTCAATTCTGAAAGATGCAGATGTGGTTTCCCTCTTCTGGCCTGAAGAAATAGATAAGGGCATTTACAAGTGCTGACTTCTGTGGCTGTACTTGGTGAAAACTGAGTATTACTACATTTTATTTGCCAGAGATGTAGGATTTTTTGATAGGCTTATCTCTAAGTAAGCAAATAAAAATACCATTAATTGGTGCTGGCTAAAATGTCATCCTGGCTGTGATGCTGGTAGTTTTGAGCCACGCTGACGCTAGATAGACAGAATAATAGTAGAGAGACTGCAATGTTTTCATTCACCTGCAGTTTCCATGCCGATTCTTCTCTAACGTAGTTGTACTGAAGGAATTTTATTTTACGCTTAGTACCACTTTGGAAATGCCAATGGGATAACACTTTCTAGTGCTCAATTGTGAAGCACCATCACTGGAAGACGATTAATTCCCTTTGTCAAAAGCACTGAGTTACATCTTGGGATAACGTCTATTTATCCTAAGATTGTGGGCTCTTTCTCTGTTGATTGCATCTTCCCAGAAGGAACATATAGAAGTTGGACTGAAGGTTAAACCTCCACTGTTTTCTTGGCACTCAATGCTATCTAGCTTCTACAGATGCAATAGCAATTTAAAGAAGGCTGCTCATCAGTTCCTGTATGTTTAATTTACACTCCTGAATTCGTCTTCAGATTTCCAGCTGAGTCTTCACCATGTTTACATGTTTTAATGCTCTGTTAGGAGTCTCTTGCTCTAAAACACTATGATCAATGTTTTTCGGTCACCTAAATCAATTTTTAACTCCTGTTTCCACTTTATTCCTATTCATTCTGAAGCAGAAAGCTAAAGGTTGGATTATGGTGCTGGAAACACAATTGCAAAAGAAAAGCATAAAAGAAGAAAATGTATTTCTATATAGCATTTGATGAGATGTGTGCCAATAATTAGGTGTGCCAATAATTTAGCTGTTTGGGATTCTGGCTCTGTAGCCTGATGCCTCATGGCAGAAGCAAAAAAAAAAAAAAAAAAAGAAAGAAAGAAAGAGAAAAGAAAAGCAGTACAGAAAAATTTAAATGAAGTACAATTTCCCTCCTTTGTTTTTTTCAAAGCTTTTTTTTTTTTTTTCTTCCCTACTGAAACTTTTACAAAATCCTTTATTTACCTGGTGTTCAAGGCCAGGTTGGATGGGGACCTGGGCAGCCTGGTCTAGTACTAAATGAGGAGGTTGGTGGCCCTGCATGTGGTGGGGGGTTGGAGATTCATGATCCTTGAAGTCCCTTCCAACCTGGGCCATTCTGTGATTCTGTGAAATTTGGTGCTTCTTAAAATTATTTTTTAAGTAGTTGACCTTGGAAATTTGTTTCTGGGAGTAGGGATGATCTCTTCATATTACGTTGCATGTAATTGTATTGCTGAACAGTAAAATATTTGTTGGTTATTACTGTGATGTTTGATTTGCATGTTAGCTTCCCTGAGGAAACAATGTCGTTTTGAACAGCAGTGTTCTGGAATCCTGCCTGTTCTCTTGATGTTATTATTCATGGAGTTGTTGTGAGATCCAGTTCTTCAGTGTTTCCTACCAAGGAACATTACATAATTGCAGTCTTCATTGTGACAAGGAATCATCTGCATGAGTCACCCACTGAAAAATGTTGGGTTTACTGGATAGCATCTTCCTTTGTAACTCAGAGTCTTTCACTGACATTTTCCTTATTACTGGCATTGTACTCTAATTTGTGGCTTCAGTTCCAAGCCTTTACCCAGCTGTGCTCCCTAAATCCTACTTCTGACTTCTCTTCCAGGCTTCTTCATTCTACGAGTACACTTTGAGCAGCATCTTTGTTGCTATACTCCTTGTCATGTCTTCTTCTGGACTGTCTCCTATTCTTAAGTTTTTGCTTTATACTATAATATTAACTCAGCTCTGCAAATAAATTATGTTCTGTCTGCAGGAAATGACCTAGACATGTACCAACACCAGTTCCTGGAACTTCGTCAAAGACTACTGTATGCTGAAAAAGAAAATAAGAAAAGATCACATGAGCTGAGCAGCGCCCTCGATGAAATAAAACATATAGTTGCAAAAAGAATTAACCTGACAACAAATCATACAGGTTTGTAGGTGTAAAAAGAACTTATTGTATATTAAAAATCAGATATTTTGTGTGCTCGTGTATCCTTAAAACTGGCATGAGAAGAAAAATCATTGATCACTGGTATCAACAGAGAAAAGTTTCTATCGAAAAAGAAAAGCTGTGGTGAAGCAATTTGTAGCCTATCTTTAAATAGCATGTAAGAAGTAGTGCAATTAAACAAATAAGGAACTAAGTAACTAAACAAGGGAGAAAAAAAGGAAACTGACTGCAGTGATGTAACAGGGGCAAGCACAAGTCAAACCTGTAATATTGTTATCTTATCTAGCTTTTTACAGTGTATGAACTCTATTGCTGCCAACTACAGAGCACTGAATAAGCTGTTTTTTTTCCAGCTTTTATTATGCAACTACTTTCTGATAGTACTGAAACTGTGTCTAATCTGGAAAGCAGGTACACCTCCTCCCTCATGTGTTCCACCATCCTGGTCTCCCCCAGCCTAGGTGGGAGCACATTTCAGCCATGAGTGCTTTGCATAAGTACAATTAGTGCTTGGAAGTGAAGTCAGTTTTAGAAAAGAAAGGACAACCTTTGAGGAGGTGATGGCTGTACGTTGATTTTTCTTGCTTTTCTTTTTGAAGAGGAACACCAAAATGGAATTAAGTTTACTCTAGTTATCTGGCTTCTTCCCATTGTTTAATTAAACATATTAGATCATTGTCTTACAGGCTATTGTACATCTCCATCTGTCTGTGCACCGGTAGTTACATACAACGATCAGACAAATCAGTTTTCTTCCCTAAAAGAAATGCTGTAGGATCGGCCTTCCTCCCTGTTCAGGGTAGAAGAGCTACTTCCCAGGGGAGAGAAGGGAATCACAGAGGGAGTCTCTGCCCTGGAAGCATTCCACAATACACTTTGGCTTGAAAAAAGAGTCTGAGTGCTGCTGTAAACTATTTCTTTAAAATCCTTGTTTGTATTCAGTACAGCAGATGGGTATCTGATTAGAATAGAGAGTTATCCAGGACTAGTACAGGAAAAAAGAAAGAAATGCATTCCTGGTTTGTGTAGCCAGCTTGATTTTTTTTTTTTTTTTTATATATTGTTATTCCCTGCCTCTTTTTGGTTGTTTTTTCAATATTAATGCAGTGGAACTGTTCAGATGCATCTAAGCAAATGCTTAACTGTGGGTAAGCCATCAGAATGTCAGACTAGAAATTGCCTTTTCAGCCATTAACAGTACAAAAGCTTACTGCCTAATGCAAAGGGAAGTGCAAGTCTCTCTTCCTTCTGTTCTTTATTGCTGTTGAATACAGGCAAGTGTTAAAGTTGTCCATTCATAGTATTCAAAGCAGCAGTTTCTTAAAATTGCTGAATGTTCTTAATTTTAATTTTTTGCTGATATTTTAATTCATTTCTTTCTTTCATTGCACACAATCCAACTGAAGTCCCTTGTGCAGCCCTTGATAGATACTAATTCCTAATAGAAATGGAAAGTCCTATAAAATTGCAAAGGTGTTTAAACAGCAACAAAGAAAGTTGATATGCCACAAAATTCCAGTACGTTTAATGCAAAGCAAGGTGAAGGTCTACTGGGTCTCTTTTTCATACCCAAATACTTGGAGGTAGATATTTCTGTTTGTGTGGTTGCTTAGGGAGTGTTTTGTTGTTGTTGTTTGCATATTTTGCTTTTGTTCTTGGATTTTGTTTTGTTTAATTAAACATTAGGACTGGGGAATCTCTGCTGATTTCCTGATTTTCAGTGGGACTATCTTCTGAATATTGAAAAATTTTAAACATTCAGCCTTTTGGGAAACCTTCACTGAGCAAACATGAATGAGTAAAGCAGGTTATGGTGATTTGTAGGGCTCGTACTAAGTAATTTTGTACACTGGTAAATTTGAGGCCTCACGTTAGGTGCATTTCTTTCTTAACTTTCTAAGTCAATAAGCTTTCTGCTGCCCTGCTGCAGACTGTAAGACCATGGGTTTTCAATTCTTCTGCAGCTTGGAAGGTTGCTAATGTCACATTGTTTACAAAAAGCAGTGAAGGTGTTGCTCTAATACTGTGGAGTACACGAGCACCAGCCTCTCTGCAAAACTGCTGAAGTATCTTGAGGAGGCAGCCTCTGAAGTAAGAACTACCATAGATAAATTCATAGGAGGGGCTTTCTTTCTGTTTTCTTTCTACGATGAAATCTTTCAGTCCATTCAAATACCTTTTTTTTTTTTTTTTTTTGCATCATATGTACCCTCTCAGCTCCTGTGGGTATCTTACGGTCAGTATAGTTTTCTTCTGTCAGCTTATAAGTACATCTGCAATGATTTTAGAATTCAGTTGTTCACTTTTTTATTAAATTTATTTTAAAGACTGTTTACCATCACTGGATCACTCAGGAATGCATGTATGAAGGAAAAGAAGCTAGGAAATGAATGATATCTGTGGGGAGGGTTGTGCTGTGCTGTTCTCCACTGGTGTTCCACAGGAGGGGCTCATGCTGACTGCAGTGTGTGAGTGCTGATGCACATTACTGCAGATTCATCTGTGGGATCTTGGCACGTCCATTTCTGAGATAGATCAGAGAAACTGGAAAAGTTCCATTAGTCTGAAACAGGATTTGACTACCAGGCAGGGCAATTGTTAATCATTATGCAGTGTGTTACAAATAATCATTTTTGATGAACGATTCTGATGGAATAAAATTGTGTGTGGTAATCAGCTAAAATAACAGCTAGTTGGAATAGGTGAAATAATAGCTGCCAGCTTTATTTTTTATGTTTACCTCTGGATTTGTTGTTTCTTTAAGATGGTATGAAAGTATTAAATGACACCAGAAAACTCCCCATGCATCTTACAAACCTGTACTACTACCTACCTCACCTTCGAGAATATGAAGATGCCATTTTTCCAAATGTTGTTATTGGACAACAGAGAACTGGAGGTAAGAAATAGTTTAGTTTGTATTTTATACATACATTTTATTCATAGTTTGTACTAAATTCTAGCTATGACACATGCTCAAAGTTGGGAGGGGTTTTTCTCTGAAAATTTTATAAACTTGCCAAATGAATAAATGAGAATGGCCAAAGTACTTCTATCACTCCCATCCTAATTTCAAGTCCTTACCCCAAAGTATTTTGGTAAACTTTTTAAAATGTCAACAAAAATAATCATAATTGATAAACAATATTCTTTCCTGTTTAGTCACATTTTCATATAGCTAAGAAGCATTGCTGGACATTTTTTTTCCCACAAAAGTATAATAAATAAGGAAGCAGTGGACAGTTTACAGTACAGTTAGTTGGCTAAGGATGAAGCAGGTGGTAAGGTGATGTTATCATCTGAAAGACATTAATATATCTTCAGTCTAACTGTTTCATCCATCTGAGCAATCCACTGACAACTTGTATTGCATTGCAGTGAACTGCACAAATTGTAATGCATTGCAGTGAACTATAATACAAATTACTAAGTTGCATCTTCTCCCAACTGTTAAGCTGTAAGTAAGAAGGGCAGTCAAAGGCAGAAAGCAAGCAATGAATTAACAAACTATTTTGCTGGTTTTTTTGTTTGTTTGTTTTTTTAATTTTGACTTTTCTGTGGGGCTGATTTAATGCGAAGAAACATTGGCAGCACTTCTAATTTGATTCAGAAATGACTTGGCAGGGCCCATGACAATGGATAACTTTCTACAGTTTTCTCATTAGAAGGTGTAGTTGGAGCAGCATGGTTTAGTACTGTGGTTCTCACTGGAGTGCTCACAGATCTGTCTGCAAAAGGCTAGAAATAGTCAGCTATAAGCTGTGAAAAAACACTCTACTTTGAATTTTTATTTCTTTGTAAGTGAAAATCACAATAGCAAGACTGCAGTCAGGTCTTGCTGTTGTGTGCAAGTTGACCTTCAGTGTTTAAGAACAAACAAAAGCCTAGTGTTTAGCTAGCTGTGTGCTGGAAAGGAACACGGAACATCTGTGTTTTTAAGTTGATGCTGGCACCAATGCTGAAGTCTGGAGCAGGTCACTAACTGAACCTATTCGTTTCCTTCAGAACCCTTAACTTCCATACCAACCTCCTGTGTTGGTTTTTTTGTTTGTTTTTGGTTTTTTTTTGTAAAAAGGAATATTCTACAAGGACTAAGAATTACATAGATTTATTGAGCTGTATGAGGTCACTGAATTCACTAATGCCCTCACCAATAAAAGAAAGAAGTGCTCCTTACAGTCTGGTGATATAACACAGTTCCACTACTAGGTCAGTCTTTGTCAGAGTCAATTTAAGTTCCTTTCTTCTTAATAATGATTAATAATGATACATTTCTTTGTTCTTCTCACTACATTATAGCTATTAGTTCATAACAGTTAAACAAATCAAGATTTTTTTTATGTGGATTTCTTTCTGAGATAGCCACCATTCATGACCTGTGAGAACTTTCTCACTAAAACAGTGTAGTTTTAATTCTTACTGTTACTCAGATCTCAAACTCCATACCAAGAATTATTATTTATTTTGCAATAGCCACTTCTGAAACTCAGTAGCAGATACATGTGTTTGCCAGAACTAGCATTATATCCCAAATATTTATCATCTGTGTAGCAGAAACTGGTGCTTGTAACACAGGCATAGGTATCTCTAACCTAAGCATACATGGATATATTTCTTCGTGGTAGCAAGGCAAATGCTGTCATTGTCCTGTAGCAGCATTGAATGTCACCATGTAAACCAATCAATGAATGTTCATGGCAGTGATTATCTTCTAACATTATAGTTCCATTTAGATGACCCAAAATTATCTCAAGCCAGAATTAAAATGGAATTTACGTTCACGTGACATAAGATGTTTTGACTTTTCATTTCTTTCTTTGCAGTCTCACTGGTGATGGGTATTCCTACTGTGAAAAGGGAAAAACAAAGTTACCTGATGAGCACGCTTCGTTCCCTATTGCATGGACTTTCTGAAAAGCAAAAGAATGACTGTGTAATAATCATCTTTGTAGCAGAGGTAAGTTTGTGTGAGAAGCTTCAACATGTTAAGAGAGAGACAACTTGGAAATTCTTGTCCTAGTATGAAAGTGTAGAAGGTGTTGTTAAGTACTGCCTTCAGGCTTTTTGAAGGGTTTCTTCAGAGCTGGATGAGCCAGTCTTCATATGCAGAAAATACTGTAACTCAGATGTCTGAAGGGGGAAAAATGCCCATATTACATTTATAAACACAGCTGATTCAGTCAGATTTTGATATTAAAATCATACAAATTTATTATTTTATCTGAAAATGGTAGGCTATCAAAAGTATGAAAAGTAAGTTCTTCACCTGAAGAAAGTACATTTATTCTGTCTAACAAAAAATACAGCTTAATTATCTTCTATTTTGACATCATATATATATATTGTGAAGTACCTTAGCATATTGGAGACTTTTTTAAAAAAACAAAGTAGTTTTAAATTGTTCAGAGACATGAGCGCTCCATATTTGGAAAAATAAACAGTTCTCAAGGTAAAATACTAGTGGCAAGTGATTTGCTTTTTCATTTCAAGTTGTCTTGAGCACACCTGAAAAAAATACAGAAGAGATCTGGTGACATTTGCTAGCAGGTGAAAGACTGCAGTTATTCGAAACTTGTTTTTAATAGTTCTTTGTCCTTCCATAAAAGACATTATATTTCACAAATGAACTGAATGTATTCATGATGAACATCTCAGTGAATACATGTGGATACTCATTAAGAGTTAAAGTTTATTTTTCAGTTGAGTAACAGTTTATGATAGCTTTTGCAACTGTAATACTGTCAACAGAAATAGCCCCACAGTCTAAACTTTAGATAAATCTTAACTGCCATTTAGATAAACCTTCTATTACAGTCCTTCAGAGAATTATTTGTTTTTTTAATAGTCAGCTTCTGAAATTGTACAGTTTCTCACTGTGGACAGTTCTAAAAGTGCATTTTTTAACAAAGAGTAGCTTAAGTTTTATTAAGAGTCCAGTTCAGCTTATTGAAGATTAAATTGCTGCTGCAAGAGTCAGTCTCTCCCCTTTCTTTCATCCCCAAAGTCAGGTTCATGCAACTTTCATTTTTCAGCTATGCAGTAAATCACAGTAGGTGAACTGTGAACTGTACTGATATGAGAGATGATAAGAACATGTAGTTATGGGAAAAGGGCAGATGTGTTCAGTGATCATGAATGCACACCTTCCTTTTTTTCACAAAGCTTCCAAAGATCAAGGTGAATGTTTACATCATGGGTTAACTCAGAGTAATTTATTGCCTTGCAGGGTGTTGAATGGTGTGTTGTTTTTTTTCTTATCCCATTTTTTTTCTCACTTATTACAGTTTTGTTGTATAGATGGTAATGATCACTTCTGTATTAGAGAAAAAAAATTACCTTAACTGCTAAGACAGGTATTGGATTGCTTTGGGAACACATTCATTAAATTTGGCACTGCATAATGTATGTTGGTCACTCCAAAAGTAATGCCTCCTATTTATTTCCATGGAAATTATAGCAGATATGAAGAACTCAATACCACTATTTGATGGAGAAAATTCTCTGCTATAAAACCCTGTTTTTCAGCATAGGTCCCACCATTAGCTATGCATTCTCGTAAACATCTGCACCAGTGGAGGCAACCTGCTGTCGCCACTGCTGAAAATGCACCACCCACCACCATCCACTGTTTGGTCTTCATAAACGTTCAGCAGGCATTGATGAATGTGCAGTTTTTTCCTTATGGGGAAGTTCACTAGCATCCCTTTCGTTCATACACCCTTCTGTATCAGACACCGTTTTGTCAGAGCGCCTCTCTACTGCCATCTGTTGGAATATTGGTGGGAAGGTTCAACCTCTACTGCCATACCACCAACATCCGTCTCTGATGTCATGGGGCAAAATAATAAAATGGGAGGCACTACTTTTGGAGCAGCTTCATATTTAACAGATGTGTTTTCCATACCAGAACTGTTAATTTCATCAAATAGGAGCACCGAACAAGTATATCCTCAAAGTTTTCAGACTAAGAACCATAAGTTTGTTATACTAAAAAGGAACTAAATGAACATGTTAAGTGTTGTTAGCTTTATAAAATCTTACTTAGGCAACTCTTCTCAACAGCCACAGGCCTCTTCTGTGATATTTGGATAATTAATCCCAAATAATTCCTTTTAGTGACAGTTATACAGCTGTGCTTTTCTGGTGTAAGTGAGAGCTGTAGAACAGTTTCTGCAGAAAATAGCTTTGCTATCTGCAGAAGTAATGAAAAAACAAAATGTCATACTGCCCTGTAGTGGAAATATAACTGTAACGTATTGCTCTTGCTTCTAATGAAATAAATTAGAGAATAGAAATGAAGTGTTTTCATGTAAATATTTCCTACAAAATGTTGCTTAATGCAAAAATGAGTGACTTGAAATGAAAGCCTGCTTCTTTTCTTTAGGTGAATGCAGAATATGTTAACGGTGTTGCAGAAAGTGTTAAAACCAGGTAAGTCCTGTGCAGTGCAACATTCAACAGCTGATAGACAAGTTTTGAGCTTTTATGGGAAGAATTAGAGCATTTCAGCAATAGATTGTAACACTACTATAATATTGAATATTGAACTGCTGTATTATATATATATATTATAACACTACTGTAATATTGAAATGGAACTGCTAAGAAATGAGACAAAGGTGCAGTCTTAGTATGTGTATCATAAATTCAGAACACAAGGATGTATATTAGTTTATTTTCCTTTTTATGTTCATAAATATGCTTTAAATAATCAAATGAGGTCTCAGCTCAAGTCTCTTGACAAATATTTACTTGATCCTAATTCTTTTCTCTGTAAATTTAATGATACAATTGAAAGCACCTGGGCTACATGTATTCAGTCCCCCCTGACTTCATAGCCCTACAGTCATGATATTTATCATAATTTCTGGGTGTTTTTGTTTCCTTGTTAGTCCCTATTTCATGAAGGCAGTGGATTTGGGGCAGCAATCAGATTATAACATAATGTGAAGCACTACTAAATGATGGGTAACATAAGATGGATATTCTTGGCCATGCAAAATTAACATTAGCAGTAACAAATGAAGCCTTGGATCCTAGTGCAGTTTTGCTTTGCATTCTTTCACATAGACATTTACAGCTGTGAAAAACCTGAGAAGAACACTGCTAAAAAACAGTGCTCGGGTAGAAGAATGCATTCATTGGTAGATTCATTTGGTCTGATGAAAGCTGCTTTCTAAGAAGCGGTGTAGCGTAGCTAACAGTCACAACATAGGTAAGGCTGAAAGCTCAGAACTGCACTTATCTGAAAGAAAGCAAGAGATGATATATGCTTTGTCAGTGACTTTTAAAATGGACAATAGAGCTGAGACCTAAACCTCCATGCCAGGCCTCCATTAAAGACAGTGTCATTTTGGTTGGAATGTAAAAGTAGATTGAGGAAGAGTAAGGAGCATGGTAGTTCTTGCACAGTTGCCTGTAATTCTAGGTAATGAATTTCATTGTTAATTACTGCTACATTTTTATATGATTTCCAATTCAAAATTCTCTTTCATGTTTTCTGTTACTTGAGAGAGATACCGTACTGCCTGTTCTAATGGTTGTCAAGGATCTCATCTTGGTTCCTAATGCCCCTACCTGGCAAAGTGTGTGATTATGTTCTTTGCTAGACTTGTGAATTCCACTTCTGGAGATGCAGGTGCAATTTTTGAGAGCACTGTGTGTGGTTACAGTCAAAAATCTTTTTGAAAAATGGAGTCTCTCTAAATTTTTCTTCATAGCTTCCCCAGAGAGGTGCAGTCTGGAGTCCTAGAGATTATTTCTCCTCCTGCTTCTTATTATCCAGATCTTTCCAATCTGAGGAAATCATTTGGGGATTCAGAGGACAGAGTAAGGTAAGACAGCTTTGATAAAACCTAAGAGCTCTTTTCTAAGAGTATAAAATGGAAAATTATTCAAAAGTCAGTGTTGTTTGAAGTGATATGGTTTTTGTATTTGAGAGGTAATGGACCTCAAGTGTACTCTTCCCTTCCTTCTTCCTTTCCCCTTCCCTTTTTCCCCCTCCCCCCTCTCCCCCATTTATGTACTTCTTTATTTATTTAAACCATTATGCAAGAAGTTCTTGTGAAGAGCTAATGCTGTACATGGCCTTCAGAGTGACAGCCAGTGTCCTGTCTCTGGGCATCCCATAGGTTTTAGAGCTGATAATGCCAAGAGATGATAGGCTAGATAATCTAGTGATAAAGGAAAAACAAAGCATAAGAAATATTTTATCTAACAAACAAGAGAGAGGATCTGAGAATGCACAAAGAAAAGCCCATGTGGCTCCTTTAATAACTAGTGACAATTAATGTGGGTGTAATTAATGACTTAACTTGTGATTATGGACGTTTCTTAGTACCGTTAATGATTTAACTTCTGGGGATTTCATTCAAATTCACTAAAGCTGGGATTATAACCTAACAGAATTGATCAACTGGAGGAAACTAATTTTCTTTTGACCAACAATAACTGTAATTTATGCAAAAAAGAAGTAGCATGCCTAGTAGCTACATAAACAGTGCAGCAATAGGTGTGCAGTACTTAGAGTTTTGGTTGATTGAACTCAGCAAGTATAAGGGATTTATAGATAAACATTCTGTTTTCCAGAGCATAAGCATTCTTATGTACTTAAGTTTCAGGTATGATTAGTTTTGAATCAGGTACACTGGGAGTGCACTTTGATGTTAACTGTTTTATGTACTGATACTTGGCACTGAATATTGAGTACCAGCTTCCTCCCTTGGTAAAATGAGATGGTGTACTTCACAGAGAAAAATCTGGGTTTGCATTTAAATCAGAAAATGAATTTTTTTTTCCAGAATCAGAAATTTTTGCCTACCTGCTTCTCTATTCTTGATCAGTAAAAGCACTCAGTTTTATAATGTTGTGAATGATCTTTAAATAATAATTGTGTATTGACCTCTACTGTTCATAATGTAATGAGTAGACTCTTTAAGTCATTTGAAATGAATCTACTTGTTAAACATTTAGAACACTTCAGGATGAGTTGATACAGATTTAAATTAGCTAACATAAAATTTTATGGGGAATTCAAATTATTTGCTGATGACTACACCAATTAAAAGGAAATTTTTGGATCAAAAATACTACTTGATTTCTTCTTGTTCACTTATCAATGAGTTAAAATACTCAACCTTTTGATTTTATTGCTCTAATGCTTTTACTATACAAATAACTTTCGGAAATTACCCAAGAAGATTTTCAGAATGTACTGCTTATGTTTAGGTGGAGAACGAAACAGAATTTGGATTATAGCTTTTTAATGCTGTATGCTCAACCTAAGGGAACATTTTATTTACAGGTATGTTCACATGATCATTAAGCAGCTCCAATACATCTCTATTGATTATTAACTTTTGACTTTTTGTTTCCTAAGGCTTCAATAAAAATGTTGTTTCCTGTGTGTTTTTTGTGTTCTTTAGAAACATCTATATATTTCTGTGTTTGTATACATATCTTGCAGCTACATAGTTTAATTATTTCATTAAATTTATCTGTACCTCCATGACATGTGATGATAAAGTAACTAGGTAAAGAGAGTCAGAATTCAGAGTATTTTCATCTGGTGCAGAATAATGGTAATAAGTCCAGGTTACAGCCCAAGGCATGAAGAACCGAAAGACTTTAGATAACTTTTCCAGATAAGGAAATATTCCAGTATAGAGACACCAGTGACAAGGTTATGCAGCATGTTTGTACGAATCCTTAATTCACCAGATGATTTAGTGTTAGATTTTAAGAAGATCCTCATGCATTCACACTTAGGTTTAGCCATCATTCTAGATTTGCGTTCCACAGCGACAAAGCTGTAGAACACTGTTGTGACTTAGGCAGCTTTTGTGGAATCATGAGATTAAAAAAAAAGAACACACAAACAACAGGAATAGTGGCAATTCTGAGAAGAAAGTTTTCAACCCAGGAAGTTTAGATGAAGACATACCTGGTTTGATTGTAGTGAAATTATGCTGACGTTTTCTTAATAAGATAAGAACATTTTGAAGCAATGGTTTTCTCTATATTTCCTGGAATTTACCAGGGCCAGTTGAGACACTTTAATAGTATCAGAGACGAATTCATGGGATTTTAGCATAGCTTAAAATCAGGCTTCCAAATCCAGGACTAGTTATGAGGAGATTTTGTTCTTTGTGTTCCTGTAGACTGCATTCATTCTGAAACATTTTACATATGAAAGCATTTTTGCAGCAATTGTGGGGAAGTGTTTTCTATCAGTGTTCATGCGAGCAAACATAAAACATTAAATCAATTAGAATCCTTTGTTAAAATCTGTTATAAACTTGGTACTCAGTTAATTGAATTACTGCTGAAGTGGTTTTGTTGTTTTTTTTTGTTTTGTTTTTTTTTGCTTCATAAGGTTTTCCTCAGGGAGGCTGGGGAGCTGCATTGTGTCTTTACATACAACATATATATAGAGAGATGTAGCTGTAAATAAGCCTCCTATTTGGTAGAGCTTTAAGTTAAATGACTTTCATAAAAGTGTATTTTTATCTGACATTTTCTTTATACTAAAAAACCAGGATTTTAATAAATCAACTATTTCTGTAGAAAATGAGAGAGTGAGATTTCTCAGCTTAGCAATCTTCAGATTTGCTGAACAGTGATTCAAACAGAAAAATACACTAGTATAATTTAGAAAGGAAGATGCATTCCTATCAGATGCCTACACTTCCCTTATATGCTACAGCTCTCGTTGCTTCTTGATTCTAACTTCTCTTAGGGATACTCTTAGATGGCAATTAGGCAAAATGAACTAGACAGTTTTTATCTCCAACTTCCTGATCAAGCTGCGTACAGCCCCTTCGTAACTTCCTTTTGCAGATAAGAGCATGTGAAGAACAAGTGGCTGTAAGCTGAAACCAGAAAAATCTGAAGTAGAATGTAGGTGCAGTGTATTAAAGGTAATTGCATAGAATGTAACTTACTGAAAAGAATAACTGATACTGAAATCCCTAAGCAATGGCAAACGCTCTTCAAGAAGATATGCTTAGTGGAACACAAGACATGGGGCTCAGTACAATTAAATTACTTTTTTTAGCATGTATTACATAGGAGATCAAATTATATTGTCTAATAACCACTTTCAGCTCTGGAAGAGGCCATTTCAGACCTCTCCCTAGTCAAAATTATGTTCATAACACATTCACAACCACTTTGCATTACAGGCTCTCTATTTATTTTCTTATGTTTTCTTCTGGTGTTTCTTAGTATGGAGGTTTTTGTGAGATATGAAGGTATTTTTGAGATACTGTTCTCTTTGCCTTTCCTTATTTGTATTCACTCAATTTCTCTTTGAGGATTCTCTGAAACTCTCTTTGATTCCTTCCTCTCCTCCCTTTACGTTTAGTGTTAGAGGTGGTTTGGTTGGTTTGGTGTTTTTTGTGTTGTTTTCTGTGTAACTGTCTCCTTAACTCCAACCTCAGATCTCAGATCCTGTTATTAACAGTTAACTTTGCCCTCAGTTCATCTGTTTTTTGATAACTTACCATCAGCATAAGCTGGCAGAATCAACGCAGATCTCTTCACCTTGTCTTTCAATTTTGTCCTACTTCCTTGTTTCACTGTTGATGACCCATTTCTCCCTCCCTAGCCTTACGCTTGTACACCTCTAATGACCAAATTCAGCTTGAAGCTGTGGACCTGCTCCCTTAGACTTCTGTTGCTGAATCTGTTGAATGTGCAAAACCAACAGGAAACCATTTGTTCCACATAGCATTCATTTTCTACCAATTTAGCTCTGTGAACCAGATTCAAATGCTATCAGACGAACACCAGAAGCAATAAAGCAGTTAGATCAAATTATTTGCATCGATACACTGCACTCCAACAATATTTTCCTGAAGACTTTGACTCCTCTTCCTGTGTTTTTCTCATTCATACCACATTCAAGTCCTGATTTACTTTCTCCTAAATTATTTTTTATATTCCTTTATTTTATTTGCCTCTAAACTCTTTGTTCAGAATCATCATCTGCAGATTTAGTAATCGGCACAGCTTCTATTTTTCAGATCTCCCATTCTTCTCTGAAAACTGTGCAAAAACTGCCAAGTCTTTCCCATTTCCTTGATGGGAACCATCTTCCTTTTCTGACTATCCTTTAGTTGGCTTTGCTGCTGCGTTCAGCTTCAGCCTTCACAACCTGCTGAAAGTTCTATGTATTCCTGCCCTTCAGCTGTTTTACAGCGTGTTCCTTCTTCCACAACGAGCACTCCCTGAAATGCGTTGCACTGACATGTCAATAAGCTTCCCCAGTTCTCCATCACCTTTTAGGTATAACAGAGTCTGCCTGGGCTAATCTGTCAAGCCACAGGCCATCTGCTTTAAAAGTTTTTCTTCCCAAACAGTTTGCTTATGCTGCTTATCAGTGCTTGTACAACTTCAGTACAAACTCTCTGTTATTTTCCTTAACCTCTATCTTTTTGCGTTATGGTTGTTTGTTTGATTTTTTTTTTCTAAGTGAAAGAGAAGCGATCATGGGAAGTAAGTGTTTAATGAATGATACCAAAACAGTGATATGTAGAAGCAAAATAGCAATCCACTGCAGTATGGCACAGCTTCGCTACAGACTGTGCAGCAGCCAGTCATCGTGTGATTATCACTCACGTGGGGCAACACCACCACCTCCTCTGCAAGCAGTAAAACCATGAGTTGGCTTTGTTCTTTTTGTTTCTCCTAGCTGGAAGATGATATTATAGCCAAACCTGATTACATTCAAAGCATAGAAAACTTTGCTGCTGAACAGTCCCAAGACTGGATGGTTCTTGAGTTCTCCCAGCTTGGATTTATTGGTAAGTATTAAGACCTCAGCACTGTCAGTTGGTTTGGAGCTGTTCAAGCAGATTTCATTCAGAATTACATTTCTTATGTGGCAGAACTTGTATATCAGAACTTAACTGTCTCTTTAGGAATGCTTCCACTGGAAGCCTTTTACTTTCTGTGCTCATTGGCACGGTCTTTCTAATGCAGCATAGGATCTAGTTGTTGGGTTCCTGTAAGAAGCAATTTGTTGTGTATCAGGGCACTACGTGCTCCTGCAGCCTTCTTTTCACAAATGGAATTTGTACAACCTGTATAACATCTATTTTCTTTCCTTTGTGGAGCAGAACATGCATCCCATATTGTGGTAAAGTTTTTTTTCTTTTTTTGTTTTCCTGTTTTTATAGTAGTAAGTTCCCTTTTGCATTTTTTTCTTAGGTTACAAGATGATTTACTTGCGATAACACTTGTGTTAGGTCAAACAAAGAAATCTAACAAAATCTGCTAATAAAAATAGCAAAAGAACTAAATGAATATTGATAGAGTTTTAAAGACAAATTTTATTTAGGTCTTAACCTAAGTATAGTCAGTATATAATTGCCATTGAAATCGTATGCCTAACAATTTGAGAGGTTGCTCAAACTTTTTCATCTGAAACACGGATAGAAATGACTGGCAAATTTCTGTTGGAACCAGGATATAACTGCATGCTTGTCTACTCACCTGGTTGACTATGTGAGAATGTCTTCATGCATGCGACGGAGTTAAGTTCCAAAGCAGAAACCTATGTAAAACTTCCATTAAATATCAGAATTGTGTCTGTGCGTTTAAGGCCATGGCTACTCCAAAACATAAAGCTGTTGAACGCTTCCTGTGCAGAAGTAGAAAAATATTGAAATATCCAACTTGTCTTGCTTTCAGGAAAATTGTTTAAATCAGAAGACTTGCCACTTATAGTAGAATTTTTTCTGATGTTCTATAAGGATAAGCCCATAGACTGGCTTCTTGACCACCTGTTCTGGGTCAAAGTGTGCAATCCAGAAAAGAATGCAGTAAGTATGTCTATGCGTTTCTGAAAATAAGTAATGCTCAGTCTCTGTCACAACGTAATTTATTTTCAGGAAGCAGAAGAAAAGCCTCTCAGTTCAAGAGCTGATACAGGTCTGCATAGTATGGCACTGTGCTGGAGCCCACTAGGGCGTATGGAGAGGACTGACTTAAAAGAATTTAGATTTTCATATCAAAGTTGTTTTACATCTGTCAGGTCAGAATATGGCCAGTGCAAACTCCTATGTGCTGCAGCTGCCCATTTAGACAACCCTGCAACATCAAAGGTGATTTTGAATACATGAAATCATATGGACTTTTATTTCTCATAACTTTCTAATGACATTACTTCTAATGTTTTCACAAGTCAGTACAGCATACAATCTTAAAAATACAGTTCTGAATTTTACATAAAATTTGCTTTCTCTCCAGCAGCAGAGCATAAGTGTTTTACTTGAAATTTTTAATTGCCTGAAAAAAACTTGACTCTGCCTGAAAACAAAACAAAACAGAGGGAAATGTGTAGACTGAAAGGATGAAATTGTACTTTTCACTGAATATAAAAGAAACAGTTGTGTTGGTTGAATTGCAAAGGATGCCATTTATAGCATGACAGGTGAATTTGATGATATGTTAAGTATTTCTTTTTGTCCTTCTGCTTCTTTGACTGGCCTTTGGTGCTGGTCACTACTCACACTCCTCCTGTACAACAATACTACGCCATGTAGAAATGACTGGAAATTCTCCCATTATATTTTTAAGGTTCAAGATATGTTTTGATTAGTGTAGTGAGTCCCCACACTGCATGTTTGCACACGTGTTATTTTTGTATTGATAAGGAAGCTTTGAAATCCTACTCTAGAGTCGGTCTAGATCCTTAAGTACCTCTAATTTAGGCTCTTGCTTAAACTCTGAATGAAAAAAGACATTATGATGTTAACACCACCCATTCCAGATGTGTCTCACATGTACCGACCTCAACTCTTACAAGTTAAACATTTTGCTGTCATTTCTAAAATGTCTCTTCTATCTTACACTATATATAAATCATATCTGAAACAATGCTATGTTCCTGAAAAGCAGGCAGACAGTGTGAGCCTGTCCTGGCCAAACCAAAGCAGAGAAGCTATAACTGAATTTCTAGTGAGCTTAATTATTGCAATTTCAATTTCAGTTGCTGTGCATAGCAAAAAAAAAAAAATGTTGAGTCAAGTTAGTCTTGTGCTGCCCCTGGAAAGGAATGACCAGTGACAGAAAAACGTACTAGAACTGTTCACGTGCATACAGAAAATGGAGGCTGGGAGAATGAGAGGGATCCCAGCTGCTGTTCCTCCTGTGATTAAAGCAGTGACTTGAAAGCTAGATTTTCCTATAGATGAAGAAAAGGCAAGATGACAGAAATCCTCACACTTTCCTACTTCGGAGCAGCTGAGAGTGGTTGTTACTTGATCACACTGTTCCTCATGAAAGGGTCAGCATGTAATGTGTTCTTACACTGTCTTGCTGAACGTCTGCTGTGGACACACATAAAATACTTGGTTCTGCTAAGAGCCTTCCAGGTGTTTTTTTACTTTTAATTAGTATTTTTTTTAAGAACCATAAATCCTCTGTGAGTTTTACTGTTTAAGCCAGTTGAGTGAGCATTATAACGTGTAGCATTGATGTAATTTATGTAAAGTGTTTTCTTTTATAGAATTGAAAGCACTTTACTGAAGATGTAAACGCATTATTCTCTCAAATCTAAATATGTGAAAACTGTGATATAGAGGGGTTAAATGATCTTCTGAACTCATACAACTATTTTGAGGCAGAACCGAGAGTCTTGGGGACTCTAATTCTAACTGTTTGCACTGTTCTTTGTCATTATGCTTTATTAATTATTGTAAGATGTATGTTTCATTGTATCTAACTATGATGCTTTGTGAATAGAGTGCAACAATTAAATTTAAAGAAAGGATGTGCTGTCAGTCAAAAAAGCAGGAAACCCAGAAACTAGTACTAGTTATAGTTATTTAATTCCCTGGTATATGTCATGTCACAAAGTGTATCTACACTGGAAAACAAGGATACAAATATAGTATTGTAGGGGCTTTACATAGTTCTAGGATAAATGATAAATATGTGACATAGAGTTCAGTACAGTATGTTGCATTATAATATTCTCATGCATAGCAGAAAGAGCCAAAACAGAAATGTAAGCGGAATCTATCTCAAGAGGATTGGTTTTGGTCAAAGCAGGATGATATGGCAAGGCCAAGAGTTGAAACAAAATTTGCCAGAAGCAGTTACAAAACTCCATCAGTTTCCAATCTGAGGTGTATTTTACATTTGAGGTGTGATTGATGATGTGCACAGTGCACAAATCCCTGAATTAATAGTGGCTGAGCCTGCAAATCAACGTTGCACCATAAGTGGAATTATGATGAGCTTATGTCTGGAAAGTGTATTTGAAATAAAATGTCTGGTAATCTAAGGATTACTCATGTATATGTAGGTTAAAAAAAAAAGACCTGAACCCATACGCTCAACTACATAATGAAATTGCCTTATGGAAGTTAGTTAGCACCACCTTTATTTAAATAGAACATCACCCTCTTTTACTTTTTTTTCCAGGCACACTGTGAAAAGGAAAAGGCAAAGTTACGTATCCGTGCTAAGCCATCTCTCTTTCAGCATATGGGACTTCATTCATCGCTGTCTGGGAAGATACAAAATCTGAAAGTAAGCATAAGAAATGATTGCCATAGTTCCAAGTTATATGCTTATGTTTTGGTTTGTTTCTCAATTTGGTATCGAGCATTGCATCTTCAGCATTAGGTGGCACTTCCACATCCTAGAAATGCTAGCTTACAGTTCTGGGGGAGAATATTTTCTGGCATCTGAATTGCAGATGGGGCTTCTGCACAAACGTTCTTGGTCTCTGATCTAAATACCTGCATCAGTCAGAGTAACCTGATGTGTAGAAACCCTCTTCACAGCACGAGTTTTCATGTGCTGTACAAACATAAATGGTTATGGTAGTCTGTTTTGGCTGAACAGTCAACAATACCAATATAAAGGTTATTGATAAGAGAAGTATACTGGCAGGGTAAATACATGATTCTACTGATTGCAGTAGATTTTTATGGAGAGTTTGAAGCACAAACAAGTATATTTGCCAGGTATTTGATAAGGATGAGCAGTGAAGCACCAGATTGTGGGTGCCATTCTGTTAGTGCCATTTGGACTACTCACAAGATCAGTGTTAGATCAGACTAAATGTTTAGGTAGCCTCTGCTATTGAATGTTCTAGTAGAAGGTAGTAGGCATAGTAGATAACCACAGAATAGCCTACACTGGAGAAGTTTCTTTTACTGATCCATTTACAAAATAACATTGAATCAGTGTATGGGAACTGCTGAATCACAGCCTGAACCTCTGATTGATCACCTGAGGCGATCAATAAGTCAGCCCTGGGAGCACAGGTGAAGGCAATTCACCTGTGCTGCTGGAAGGGTGTAGCCTGGCTGCACCTCTTCTAAACCCATTTAAGAGCTGACTACCAGTGAGGAAGGATCTCTGCTGGAGGTCCCTCCTTTGGAGTTTTGCAGTGAGCTCAGGACAAGGGTGAGCGCTCTTATTTATTCTCTTTTTGTTATAATAACCTGCTTAGCCAAACTCTCTTGTTTATTTCATAATTATAACATCTGTATATTCACTTTTATATTATATTATATATACAGTGATAACATTGAAGTGGATGTCCTTTTTCTATCACAAAAAAGATTGTATATTTTTAAAATAAGTGTTTTCTGGAGTAGTTACCTGTGGTAATTCAAGAAATTACAGCACTGTTTTCATCATACTTTTAGGAGTGAAATTACATTCTTATATCCAACAGGATAAAGATTTTGACAAAAGTGTGCTACATAAAGCACATGATAATCCACCTGCAAAACTGACTACAAGTCTGAGGATATACCAGCAATATACCTTGGAAAACGTTTATGAAGGAAAAGGCTATTTTTGGGCTTCAGCTCCAATGGCTGGGGACTATATCAGCTTCACCTTTTTGAAGCCACTAAAAGTAGAAAAGTGAGTATTACATGGTGTGGAATATGACAGACTGCATATATACAGTTTGGATACGACTGAGTCCATTCAGAATCACTAGAGTTCAACTGTTTGCATAAACCATAGCCTGATTATTTTGGATTTCAAATCCTTAAATTTTAAATCCTGGATTTGTTTCATTGACTGCACTGAATACATCCATACTGCCTATAAAAACACTTTGGTCACAGCCAGGCATCTAACTTAAGATGTCTCTTTGAATAACCAGATTTCACCTCATATGTTTTTCTCATTCCAAGAGATCCCCCCACCCCAATAGCTCACATACAAACACTTTGGTGGTGCATTTGCTCATTAACAACTATTGTGGATTATTTAGAGCATCTGAACTGACCAGTGTTGATAGAGGGGGATTCTCCTGGCATTTAGTATATGCTGTTCTTGAGATGTTTTGTGCCCCTGTATTCCAGAAGCCTAACTTACCTAGGCCTTAGGATGATAGGAACGAATTCAAGGGCAGAACTTCCTTAGCTATTTAAAGGTGGAAAAATGAATTGATTCAGACTTTGAGCACTGAAAAGAGGGAATGCTTGTATTCATGGTTCCAGAGAAAGATGGTTTTAATGCTTGTTTTGTTTAAAATAAAAATATCCTAGTATGGTTTGGTGACACATCAGAAAGTTCTAATGCCTATTTCTGTTCTCTCCAGCCTACAACTAATTGAAGTGAAGGTATTTAAAAATTTCCTTTAGAGAAGGAAAATATTACTTCTCTAGAACTTTTCTAACTTATAAACTTACTACAAATAATGTTTTTTTTTATCAGATACTTTTTTAGAAGTGGAAATATGGATTACCCTGGTGATATACTATATGACACTACTGTGGAAGTGTTGCCAGCTGATGTAAGTCTCTTATTTCCAATTGCAATACATAATACATAATTTCATTTTACGGATGATATTTGGCATGTAGGATCATGTTCTAGAAAGTGCTGCTGAGATTTTATTCTTTTGTTTCTTATAGGAAGCTGTAAGGAAAGTACTGGTTGGCAACAGAAGTAAATTTAACTACACTGCAACCAAAGATGGATATTTAAAGATAGGTAAATAATTTATTGTTGCTTCAAAAATAGATGTTTTTTCTTCCATATAAAATGTTTTGCACTTGAGAATTTCATTAGCTCTGTAATGAATGCAACTTTCCAGGGTAGGAACTTGTAAGGAATAGGAACCCTTTGTGCTATTGTGTGTTGTAGTATGAGATGTTTCACCTATTTTGTTTTGATTAACGAAGAGCCTTAACTGTGGTGCCAAAAGGCAAGGCATCTACTCACAGAACAATTGACATTGGAAGGGATCCATAGCAATCATCAATAATGAGAACAACACAGCCTCTGCAAGGTTTTAATAAGATAATTGTTTCTGGTTTGGATTTTGCAGCCTTAGATAAAGAAAAAGGAGTCCATATTGATCATGATGAAGCATAACACTGCATTTTTGCACACAAAGTTCCCCCTTCAGAGCAGTGTTTGACAGAACTGCAGATTAACCAGATATCTGCTAAGGCTTGTTGCCTGCTGTTACCTGAACAAGAATGCCATTTTGTGAATAAAAATGGACTACTGGGAGACATTCCAGACCTTCCACTTTTCTTCTGTTTGTTCTGTCATATAACTGCTCTTTATTCATAATGAACTTTCAGCTCATCATCACCTCTTGTTTGCTTTAATCTGTATCTTACCCTCACCTCCTCTTGGTTGTTTCGATCTAATGAAAGATCCAAAACCAAATGCTATCAATTCACAGTTCTACGTGCCAGTTCACAGGAAACAAATATCAAACAAATAAGTGATATTCATTTGTCTGTTTCATTTGCCAGTTTGACAAGGTTAGTTAAAAAGTGTAAAGGTAGGGAAGGAGTGTATCAGAATAGATGCATGATTCCTTATCTCTTTTTAGAACAACTGTACTTCTCAGGAAGGCTCTTTCTTGTTGTTCATAAGCATTACCTTCCCGTGGCTATAGTTTGACCTTTTCCAAACATTTTCCCCTCATGTTCTAGAGTTATTTTGTAATGTAGAACTTTCACAAAAGTTCACTTGAAAGTGCATTTTAATCTAATGGGGACTTGTAATTATGCTTTGTTTTTCATTTAGGGGCTTTTGAGAATGGAATTGCAGAAGGCAGCATCGATCTGTCAATAGGAGAAATACTGGCTATTCGTTTATTAGTCAATTCTGATTCCCCTGTATGGGCAATACTGAGTGAGGTAAGTCTGTTAATAAAAGTTTTATTAGATTGATTTCAATTTCTCCGATCGCATAGAATTGATAGTCACTAGTTTTTATCTAATTTTGAATTGGGTTCTCTGTGGGGAGAAAAAGTGGAGAACTATATTAATTATTAAGTGGATGAGAATTTATTTCATAGAAAAAGAGCTGAAATGGAATAATTGACCATTATTTGCAGTGCTGTAATACAGCCACTAAAATTTGGGTCTTGACAAACCAGAGGACACGGGGAGGATTCCACTATTTTGGGTATTAATAATTATTGTATGCTATATTTTCTGTATACTATATTTTCAGATGAACATGTGGTTTGTTGGTTGTTTTTTCTTCAAGTTTTAAATATCTGAATGTGTGTGAACCTATAAGTTGAAAGCAATCACTGACAGTTGCTACAATCATACTTGGAAGTAAAAAAAAGACTCTATAGAAAATGTTTTTGGATTTTTGTTGTTTTTTTCAGGTACTTATCAAGATGTCTGAAAACTGAGAACTGGAAAAAGTATATTTTTGACACGTTACTTGTTACAGACTTGAAGACTTATCTAACAGCAACAAAAACCTGAGTGGATAAATAAAAATCCAGACCCAATACTGTGTATTGGCAGTGTGGAGATAATTGTTAAGAACTTGTAAAAATTGTTAAATCTTTATGTAACAAGAACTAAAAGCTATGAAAAACCTGACTGTTAGAAATTTCCATAAAATACTGCTGATTAAGCTGTTCTATATAAAAATTCTGTCTCAGTTGGCCAACGTGATATATTACTGTAAGCAATTGACATTACAGGCAATCTCAGGGACAAGACAGGACAGTATATTTCTAGTTCACTAGAGCTAAATACATGGACTTTGGGGGGAATATTAAGGACGTGGTTTGCAGCTGCATTAAGAACGCTGGTCAGTTTTGAAGGTAAACTAGAACTGAAGGAAAAATTGTCAGCATTTCATGCAAGTACTTACAACAGTCCACCAGAGAAAGGATTAACTTACCAATGTGAGAGGGGTCTCAAACTACCACGTCTTAGCCTTAATGTAGCAAAAGGTATGTTTAATTTTTTTTTAATGAAAATTGCTTATTAGCTACCATTTGAATACCTTGAAAATCAAACAGGTATTGTTCAGAGGATTGTACAACTCTTCTGTGAATTGTGCGTTGAATTAACCTCAGGAAATAATTGGTACAACATATGTAACTATATTTTTGTAGGAAGAATATCTATTTAAATAAAATTTTGTATCCTGCCATTTGATAATCAGTATGTCCTGATACTTCTGTGCTGGTCACGAGCCCAAACTCTCTACAAATTTGAAAATAAATGGCAAACTCCAGTAGTCTCACTTGAGGTGTTTTTGGGAAAAGACACCTTGGATGCCTAACTGTGCTGGGCAGACTTAATTTATCACTTTTTTAGCACCTGAAGCTCTGAAAATAGTTTGGCAACTTACAATATTCTTTGAAGTACATGTGGTAGTGTCAAATACACGTATGTGTATATATTTCTTGGACCAAGTATTGCAGCCTTCACTAGGTTAAAAATTTAATGCAGTAACTTGAAGTATGTAAAGATACATGGGGGAACTTTATTAGCCACTCAGATGGGTTTGGTGAGACCAGTGGTCAAACTACAGCCAAAGAAAGAAGGGAAATCACCCCCTGCGATCACAGAACACGCTTCCTATTGCTTTGATGTAAATGAGCCATGTAAATGTCAAAAAGTAAATAATGAATGCTTACATATGCACTGTTTAGTAAAATTTTGCTTAGTCCCCATTCTTTCTTGTGCTTTATGGAGCACAGAGATTTCTTGCAGTGTCTGTGGAACCGTGCTCAATTGTATGATGAAAGGAACCTCAGGAGAAGGACTCTGAATTTTCAGTGAAGGACTGAATCACAGAGTGACCAGTTGGAAGGGACCTCAAGTATCATGAATCTCCAACCCCCACCACAGCCAGGGCCACCAACCTCTGCATTTAACACCAGACCAGGCTGCCCAGGGCCCCATCCGACCTGGCACTGAACACCTCCAGAGATGGGGCATCCACAACCTCTCTGGGCAGCCTGTTCCAGCACCTCACCACTATCATAGTAAAGAACTTCCCCCTGACATCCAATGTAATGTTGGATAACCTAAACTGACTAATAAGTAAGTAGTGCATGTTATAGCACCAGCAAGTTTAAGGCAATGGGGTGTAATAGAAGTACAGTTCTCCTCAAAATTAACTTTTTCTCTAAGCCACGCATTTGTTGGCTCTTTGATCTGTTACACAAACTGAGATTCCCATCTTTTAACTTTATTGTTTTTTTACATAAATACTACTTATTCCAGATGAACCTTTCATAAATGCCTTACAACAAACAGTAGGATAATCCTGCAATAAGCAGAACTCTTGCAAATCTACAGATGCTTCCAAAAGGATGTATGTGTACTTCAAGCTGCAAGGACAGCTTTCATCTGTCTTTTTTTTCATGATGGATTGCACAAGAATATTCCTTGGGTGTTTTTTTTAGCTAGAGGTGTCTAAAGATTGAAACTTGTGTAGGAGTATGGTGCCATTTTTGAAAAGTACATTAAAGAAGGATTTGAATTAAGGTTTAACAGAACCTTTGGGACATTAGCTACTCCTTAATAAGAGAAGAAAGTACATGGCTTTTCTTTGTGCACTACACAGAGAGTAGTGACGCACTGGACCAGGTTGCCCAAGGAGGCTGTGGATGCCCCATCCCTGGAGGCATTCAAGGCTGGATGTGGCTCTGGGCAGCCTGGTCTGGTGGTTGGTGACCCTGCACGTAACAGGGGGGTTGAAACTAGATGAGCACTGTGGTTCTTTTCAACCCAGGTCATTCTATGATTCTAGGATTCTGCATAATAAATATACCTTGTGTTTAAGCTGTGATGTTTACATTCATCTTTGGAGCTTGTAGTTGAAATAATCCACAGCACTCTTGAGTTTTGATTATATAAAATACAAATAGAATCAAATTAAGTTTGAAGCTTCTGCATTAGTTTACAGCAACCCTGAAAGGCAGAATGTCACAGAAATAAATACGAGCATTTACATTTATGGTTCATTGTGCTTGCTCTCATGTTAACTCCCAACCGTTCTGAGTGATTTAGGCTACTTAGCAAACTAATACGTGTTAGACATAAACCATACGGAAGCTGTTTACGAAAGCAAGCATTGTGCATCCAAGGCAAGTAGCCAACACCCAGCTCAACCAGCAAAATGGTGAAAGATTTTGCTGAGTTGAGATATATCACAAGGCTCTGCTTTTGTCTGTGCCACATGCTGCACATTTTGAGATATTCCTGCCATACTTCGTGATATAAATTGGCTTAGCCAGTACCGCTGCCAGAATTCATGACTTCAAGCTGAGCCAAGCCAGAATGTCAGTGAGGGCGGCAACCCCACACCTCTGGTGATCTGCAGAGCTGGGTGAGGGCTGAATGGAATGCATACAACAGCTTTGCTGTTGCTGAAATGGGATTGAATTGCTCAGCAGTCTCTACTTGCAGGAATGGGTTTTGTTCATTTAAGCAAGATGATTCAATTAGCTGTGGGGGAAAAAAAGGCCTTGTCTACAGCCTGGTAAATGATTGAAGGTGTGTGGTGACACAGTGGAAAGAAGGGATGCCATTTAGAGGGACCTTAACAGGATAGAAAGGTGGGCCCAGGTGAACCTAATGAGGTTCAACACTGCAAAGTGCAAGGTTTTGCACTTGGCCAGAGGAATCCCAGGCATTTATACAGACTGGAAGGAGTGGTCCTTGAGTGCAGCCCTCTGGAGAAGGACCTGGGGGTCTTAATGGATGAAAAACTTAACACGAGCCAGCAGTGTGCCCTTGCGGCTCAGAAGGTAAATGGGATCCTGGGCTCCATCAAAAGAGGGGTGGCCAGCAGGGACAGGAAGGTGATTGTTCCCCTCTACTCTGCTCTTGTGAGGCCCCATCTGCAGTACTGCGTCCCGGTCTGGAGCCTCCAATACAAGAAAGACAGCTGTTGGAGAGGGTCCAGAGGAGGGCCATGAAGATGAGCAGGGGACTGGAGCACCTCCCCTATGAGGACAGGCTGAGGGAGCTGGGCTTGTTCAGCCTGGAGAAAAGAAGGCTGTGGGGTGACCTCATTGCAGCCTTTCAGTACCTAAAGGGAGCCTACAAACAGGAGGGGAGTCAACTCTTTGAAAGGGCAGATAACTGCAGGATGAGGGGAAATGGTTTTAAGTTGAGGGAGGGGAGATTTAGGTTGGATGTCAGGGGGAAGTTCTTTACAGAGAGAGTGGTGAGGTGCTGGAACAGGCTGCCCAGAGAGGCTGTGGATGCCCTGTCCCTGGAGGTGTTCAAGGCCAGGTTGGCTGGGGCCCTGGGCAGCCTGGTCTAGCATTAAATGTGGAGGTTGGTGGCCCTGCATGTGGCAGGGGGTTGGGGATTCATGGTCCTTTCGGTGCATTCCAACCCAGGCCATTCTGTTGTTCTGTGAACTCCAGTGATAAGTTAAATTCCCAGTAACCATGATGGTAATGTTTGACTGGAAAAAAAAACAAAAACAATCACGTTGCTTTCAACTTCGAGTCTAACTGAATGGAATGTGCTATTCCTTTAATAATTTTTCCTCATGCAAGACACAGCATTCAAGCACAAAAAAAGCAGCGGACGGGACGCTCGATTCCCGCAGCCCCCAGCCCGCCGCCCCGCAGCGCCCATCGCCGTCGCCGCGGCGAAGCCCAGTGGCAGCGCAGAGCCCGCCGCGGGCCGAGCGGCGATTGGCGCAGCCGGCTGCCCGCCCCCATCCCTCCCTCCCGCGGAGCTCGTGCGGGTCGTGATTCGCGCGCGGATTGGCCGGGGCGGAGCGGCGCGAGCACCTGCTCCTCAGCGCCCGCCGCCCTGCGCTCCGCCGGCGCGTGCGCGGCTAAAGCTGCGCCGGCAGCGGGATCCGTGCTAAGCGCCGGCGGGGCGCAGAGGGGATCTCGCCGCCGGTAATCCGCTCCGCCGCGGGGACGGGGCTGCGCGGGGCGGCCGCCTCTCGCCCCGCGGGGATTGGATGCCGGCGTCAGGCCGGCGCGCCGTGCGTCGCCTGTTTTGTAACTGGGGCGGGGGGAGCGGCGGCCATGAGGGGAAGGCGGGCGGGGCTGCGGGGCGCCGGCCGTTACGTGAGGGGCAGCGCGGCGGGAATCGTGGGCACAGCGGAGCCCGTGGCTCTGTGCTTACGGGGAGGAGGGGGGCATGGAGTTGAGCTGGGAAGGGCCCGTCCAGCCTGCCCCCGTCGGGAGCCGTGTCCTTGCACTCAGAACGTTCCTTCTGTCTGTTTTTCCCGTTGCGCTGCTGTCTTGTGTGTGTCCCGCGAGCAGAGGTGTGTTATTCCTTGAGGTGTAACGTTGTGCTGGTGTTGCGGTGCCGTTGCTGTTCCCAAGGGCTTGTCTCACAGCGGTGCTGCTGCCTCATAAGTCTTTTCTGGTACGTGGATGTGCTGTAGGTACCCATGTTCCCATGGGAAAGAGTGACCAAGCTATGCAAAAACAGCTTGAACTTAAAGGTGTGGTTTTCATAGCTCTTTACATGTTAATTCATCTTCAGGATCCATTGAGTTTTCTTATTATTTGCACACAGTTTGGAGACCAGAAGTGATTAGGCTTCGTTTAAAGGTTTTGCATTGTAATGTGGTGGTGCTGAAGAAGTTCACGGAAACGAAAAGATGTAAAGGTGATGTTTGGGACAAGAGAGGAAAGCATCAGAGTCAAAGAATAGCATAGAATAGCATAGAATAGAGGGGGGAAAAAAAGAATGGTAACATAATTTAATGTACTTTCCCCAAAACTATACGTCCGTCCCAAGGAGTGAAGCTTTTAGGACGTAGTTGGCATGTTGGCTTGGCACCGGTGTGTAGAACAGCTTACTTTGGGCTGTAGATATAATTGGTACAGGCAATATGAAGTGAACAGATCTTAGCAGGAATAGGGAATAAAATGAATAAGTTTTCTTTTTGGACAGGCATATAGGGATGTGTGTGTTTTGTTTGTTTCGCCTTGGTACTGATCTCTGTTTGTATTGCTCAGTGGAACTAGCAGCTTGATAAATTGAGCGTGAAAGAATTATCATTTTGCTTCCAATGTTTGCATTGCTTGGTGGATCTGATAAAGCCAGAGAGGAAAAAAAGGTGCTCTGGTTTCCAGATCAAATTGCTGTCTCAACTTGCTGTGATATTTATAATAAATAAACAATTGCTGAAGAACTTTGCTCTATCTTACAAGGGTGGCTGCTCTGTGAGGCACAGAAAGCATCTCAGTAGCAGAATACTAAGTGTGAGCAGCGGTGGCTAAAAGAACAGGAAGTTGTGAATGCTTCACGTTCCTTATTTCTTATGGTTTTAATGTTACTTCTCTTGTAGGTAAAGTCCTGGACTAAAATTGAGCTAGTGGTGATTATAGTCCCACAACAACGCTTAAAATTTAAATCTTTCAGTTCTTCAGATGACCAGAATGCATTCCCAGTGGGACTGGCTGTGTTTGGGTCTCCTGATAATTAGCTCAGTAACTGCAGAAATTGAAGATGGAGAAATTCTGGGTGCGGATGTTGAAGTGGAGGACTTTGACCAAGAGTCTCAACAAGCTGATATTGACAAAGAAGAATCTTCCTTAGGGGTAAGGTTTGAGATGTCTTTAATTAAAGCTTGTGTAATTTTAAGTTACGTGGTTACACTAAGAGACAAATTGGTACACAAATGACTTCAAAAAGAGCAAGTTAACGTACAGCTGTCAACTCAGTGGGTGTCAAATGCACCAGACTGAGGTTTTTTCAGTCATTGTGTATGATTTAATGACCCTGCTATGCTGAAGTGCAAGACTGGATCTCCTACCTGCAGTGGATAGTATTGAAGAAGTTCTTGCTAGTCCTTCAATCTAGGTATGGAACCTTTTATCTGAAGCCCTCCTTGATAACACACCTTGTAGCCTTGTGTCATTACTAGAGAAGAAAGCAGCTTTGTCTTGTTGATATTTTTAAATGAGATCAATTCCTTGTTTGTTTGTTTGTTTTTGTCATTCACATGGTAAAATACAGCCATTATTTATTTCCAGAGAGTATTTCTGTGTTTGTTTAGCTATAGTTGGTAATAGATTTGGGCAATATTCATAGATTTGTTTTTCCTTTTTTTTTTTTTTTTTTTTAACTGTGTAGTCCAGTTGTGATGTGCCAGGTAGGTAGGAAAAGAAAAGAAGGAAAAACTTGTAAAGAAACAGGGAGGAAGCAGAGAACTGTTGCAAGCTGAGTAAATGTTCTGTATTCTTATATGTGTATGAGACATGTAACAGTTAGGAGCTTTGACCACAGTTGTTTTTTTAACTGTGACTGTGCTTTTACGCTGGTGTCTGTAACTTTCTGAAGTTTCAGACTTAAATACGTTAAGCTGTTAGGGCATAAAAAACAGATGGGGAAACTAACGGTAAGCTGGAATGCATTTGAGCTCCTTACTGTGTGTACTAGGAGGACCACCAATTAGTTTTCAGAAATCTCAGGAAAGGTTTTTTTCTGATATCTGAAAGTGAGTCTAAAACCAACCTGGCAGCCTCTTCTGCCATCATTAAGAGGGTGTTGGAATGAAGTGGGCAGACTCTCTTGCCTTAAAAGCCCTTGTCCAGAGTCTTGATGTTGATCTCCATGTCACACAGATACTTGGCAGATAGGAAATAGCTCAGTGGTAGAGGGGCGCATGCCCTAACCTTAGAAATGAGGTGGGGTTGTGAAGAAGCATGTTTTATTCCCTTAAATGCAACAGTGGTGTTCTGTCTGCATGGGCTACTTATGGATGTACAATTACAGAACCATAGGAGTCCTCTGGAGATCATTTAATCCAACTGCTAGAGCAGGTTCCCTACAGCAGGTTGCACAGGAAAGCATCTGGGTGGGTCTTGACTACCTCCAGAGAAGGAGACTCCACAAGCTCTATGGGTAGCCTGTTGCAGGGCTCTGTCACCCTCAACGTACAGAATTTGTATGGAATTTCCTGTGTTTCTCTTGGTGCTTTGCCCCTTGTCACATCACTGGGTTACACTGAAAAGAGCCTGGCTCCATCCTCTTGACTATGGTACTTTAGCTCTTTATAGCATTGATAAATATAATAGCATCTGGTAGTGTATTCCTGTTGAAAAACTGTAGTTATGTTAGGGCACGTATCTGTAAATGTCTTTTAGGTGACGTACCAGACTCCTAAGCCTACTGGAGATGTTTATTTTGCAGAAACCTTTGATGGAGGATTGAGCGGGTAAGCTGTAACTTAACATCCTAAACTTGTAATTTCAGCAATTTAACTTACAGCAGCAGGACTTTCTATTCATTTACCTGCTAGGAATTTCTCAGTAGAAATGTCTTTAGTAGGAGCTGGTATGATCAGCTGTTAGAGTACTTTGTTTTATGATGGAAGCTTTGATAATGTTGTGGAAAAAATGTTTGGTTTTTGAAGACAAATCAAAACATATTATTGGTATACCACGATTAGTAAATGCAAAAACTTAAGTGCTTAAATACCATTTATCTCAATCCTTAGCTTTGTGAGATCTCTGAGAGTATTGTTTTCCCACTAAATCTATTATTTGAAGCTGTAGAATACAATGTTTTGCCTTTTTGCTTGAGTTGTACCTAATTAACATAGAATAACATGTAAGTGATGCTGAAGGCTACTGCTGGATTTCATTCCTTGCTAGGAGCAATTAAAGTACTGCAATTTTTGTGCTGTCAGAGTGTATGAAACTAAGATACAAGAAAGTAATCAGCATGTTGCCTTTCTTTTCTTAAAACAGAGGAAAAATGGGAGAACTGAGGGAGAATTAGGTTAGATATTAGGAGGAAGTTTTTCACACAGAGGGTGGTGACACACTGGAACAGGTTGCCCAAGGAGGCTGTGGATGCCCCATCCCTGGAGGCATTCAAGGCCAGGCTGGATGTGGCTCTGGGCAGCCTGGTCTGGTGGTTGGTGACCCTGCACATAGCAGGGGGTTGGAACTAGATGATCATTGTGGTCCTTTTCAACCCAGGCCATTGTATGATTCTATGAAATTGTGTCAGAATAGAGTAGCTCTTTGGAGACCAGGCCTTGACAGACATTGCATGATTGTAAAGATGAGTTATTTTGACATTGCTTTTCATGTTTTGTTTTTTTTTTGATGTTACATGCCCATAGTCTTAAATTTTGTCAGCCTCAGCTCACAGCTAAAACCCAAGCTTATTTGAAGTAAATGTTTGTTTCAAGTTATGATTATACATTCATTTAGATTCTTTGGAAGTGTTTCAAAATGAGTGTTGTATGAAACTTGTTGCAAATTTTCTGTTTGCATTCTTTAAATTACACCAGGTTCCATGATGCTGACCATTGAAATCCATGTCACAAGTTCACTTGGTAGAAGCTTAATCTGTTTGTCCTGTGCATGTTAACTAGCACAACCTTGCAGAGATAGTTAAGTGACTTGTACACTTCTTGTTTTAGCTGGGTGTTGTCTAAAGCCAAGAAAGAAGACACAGATGACAACATTGCTAAATACGATGGTAAGTGTTTTTAATGTTTACTTTGACTGCATGGGTTCTAATGTTCTGTTGCTTTGTGGGAAATACCTCTCCTTCATGCTGTATGCCCATTATGCTGTACTTACCTGTAAAAACCTACTTGAAAGCAGAAGCTTGTCATTTGTTGTTGTTGTAACTTCTGGCTGTATTGCTTTCAGTTTTTTTTCCTTAAGCTTCCTTCTCTCCTTGTTGTCTGAGCCAAAATGCTAGGTTAGATGGATCTTAAATCTGCTGACCTGGAGATGTTATTTTATTATCTTTACTGTGAATTGGGATTCTAGTGGTTTCTAATTGTTGTGATGGAAGTACTGGTTGAAATGCTGTATTGATGATTTGATAGCAAGATGTGAGCATCAAATTTGTGCTCTGTGAACATTCTTTTTGTGTTGTAGTGCTGCAGAGCTTGGGGAAGTGTAGGGTGGTCCTGTATAATCACTTGTATCTGAAGGAGAATTATCAGTGCTCTACTGGATGACTGTTATTAAACTTCTAACTTTGACATCAAATGTCAAGACTTCTTCTCTACTTTGGCAATTAGTCTTATATGCTGTGAACTCTTTACTTCTCTTTGCCACTAGGCTATAATGTCTTTCATCAACATACTGTTTTTGTTTTCCCAAAGATTGCATGTTGGTGTTCGTTTGTTTCTTTTAGGAAGATGGGAAGTAGAAGAGCTGAAAGAAAACACGGTACCTGGAGACAAAGGATTGGTGTTAAAATCAGCTGCAAAGCATCATGCAATATCATCTATGCTAACAAAGGCATTTATTTTTGATAAAAAGCCTTTGATTGTTCAGTAAGTATTCCCTCAATCTGTGCTTGATATTTACCATGCTTCAGATCTTTGAATCAATAAAGTCATGTAAATCCTTTCACATAGCACAGACTGACACAGCCAGAGCTACCAGGGCTGTAAGTATGAAAGAAAATAAGCAAGTAAGATTGTAGTTCAAGTGTAAGAAGTTTATGTCCAAAGTATTTCAAGAATTTGAATGTGAGTTACTATTTTATAAAATACTTTAAGATTGAAAATGAATTAACTTTTAAATGAAAAAGATTTCACTTGTGATTTGAGTATGCTGCTTTTACACTTGCAGGGTATTTCTGTGTAACTCAACTACAACGATTTGGATCCCTTGTGCTAAATCCAGCGTGCTGTATGGGCAGTTCAAAAGAGAGAACCAAATTCCTATAACTCTTTCTGGTTTCTGCCTCACTTTGGTAGAATCACAGAAAGGCCTGGGTTGGAAGGGACCCCAATGATCATCAGCTTCCAACCTCCTGCCACAGGCAGGGCCACCAACCTCTGGGTCAGCACGAGTTTGAAACTTTTCTTATTGCTGTTCCCAACTGTAGCAATTGCTACTGTGGCTTTTTTTGGCTGATGTATTGGTTTGTGTGGCAACTAAAAACCTTTTAGTCACGTTGGAATATTTTGACAGTAGCGCTTAATAAAAAAAAAAATCAGGCAACTTACACATGACTGTAATGTGTTTGTAAGTAGAACTGCAGATACGAAGTTTATTTGTATTTGTCTGATATGAGGATTTTTTTTTTTAATTTGCTCTTTGCCTAGATATGAAGTGAATTTTCAAGGAGGCATTGACTGTGGTGGTGCATATATTAAACTTCTCTCCAGTACGGATGACTTGGATTTGGTATGCTCCTTTACATTTGCTGTTGATTGTTTCATTGAGGATTGAGTATATTTAAGAATAAATAAATAAAAGCACAGACCCATCTCAAACAACACATCTACTATAGGATGTATCTTGAGGGAAGGTGACTTGCTTAAAAACATAGATTGTACTGTGTATTCCAAATAGGAAAATCATATAAATAGTTTAAAAAAACAAACAAACAACTGAAATTTCACAGCAGCTGAATGCAGTATAGTTGGAAGAAAACTGAATCTGGTATTTTAAGAGTTGCTTATTATTACTTACGTGGAGCAAGAAAGCAGCACTGAAACAATGGATAATAATACCTTGCTTTTCATCTTTATTGAAATATAAATGGCTGTGAAGAACAGAAACTGGTTCTCTTTCATCTTTTAGTGTAACGTATACAGAAGAGCATGTTTGGATGTTTTGATGTGGCAGGCATTTCCACTTAATGTTAAAGATAGTAAGCCCATTCATCTTGTCTGAAGAGGCTTCAGTGATCTCTGTAGTTAGGCTGTTAAATTCTTACAAAAGCTGTTAAATTCTTTTCATGATTTACCCTGCCAGTTTTCAGTGTTAGAATTGAGGCCACATCAAACACCTCTTAGAAGAAGGTAACCATGTTGTATATATGCCACAGTAACATGGGCAAGCAGTACTCCAAATGACTTGATAAAACGTACAGTTTGACACACACTTTTTTTTTACTTTCACAGGAATTATTCTTTGACAAAACACCTTATACTATTATGTTTGGACCAGATAAATGTGGGGAAGATTACAAACTACACTTCATCATCAGGCATAAGAATCCTAAAACTGGAGAATATGATGAAAAACATGCAAAACGTCCTGATGTGGACCTAAAGAAATTCTATTTGGACAAGAAGACACATCTGTACACTCTTGGTATTGTTTAGTTTTTACAAGTCTGAATTAGAAATAAGATTTTAAAAAAAAAAAAAAAAAGTTTATCTCTACTGAAGCTTTATGTCTTACTCTTTTTGTTATTGTTAAGTCTGGAGCTGATTGCTTAATGATTTGGCCTTAAGTTATTTAATGAGTGAGCTTAACTGCAGCACATAAGTGGCTTTGAAATAATTCTGTTTAATGTTCAATTACATGAGAAACCATTCCAGCTTTGGCCAGCCTTTAACCTGAAGAAGTGATTTAATACTTTGAGTACATACTATGATAAAAATATTTTAAGAAAAAGTCCAATCTTATAGGGAGGCATTGGAGTTGACAGTAAGTCAGTGAGCTCTCCTACAGCATATTAAACTCTGCTCTCCTCCACATGTTGGGTTACCGTTGATGCCTGCATCTGCAGAGCATCATGTGTGTGAACAGATATGTTCCTGCTTTCACTGAAGATAAATGAGTTTGGGTTGCTTTTAGTTTGTGTGGCAAACATCCTTCCCAAACTCTGTTGTCATGATAAAGGAGCGTATATAAAAAGGAATGTATATGTTCCTGTATTTGGGCCATTCATTAGAGATAATGATTAAAGGTACTTCAACTCAAATGGCATTTATTCTGCAACAAATGGTCAGCAAGACCTCTGTACAGGTTTGTGACTTCTAATGATTTTGTGTTTTTCAACATAAGTTGAAAAATCAGTTATTGTGTGTAAAATGATATGGGGGGGGGGGTAGTCTTTTGTATTTGTTTTAATAAATTATGAAATGTAGGCTGCAAGATGTTAATTAGGTAGTACCAAACTGTTGGTATAACACTGTTACTTGAGTTTCTATCACATATCATCATAAAACTGGAGGAGTACTTACTTCAAATTAGTAATCTTGGTTGTGTTAAACGGGCTTTTAAATATACTTGTTAAGCACTAGAATGTATTCACTGGTTATTAGAAGTGGATTTCAGTCCAGTGTCTCAACAATTGTGGAGTCTGACACTGCTGGATTCTGTGACCCTTGCTTATCAGGTACTTGCACTTGCTAAAATATTTTAAAAACTTGAAAATAATGTTGGTCTGGAGCCCCCAGTACAAGAAAGACAGCTGTTGAAGAGGGTCCAGAGGAGGGCCACAAAGATGATCAGAGGGCTGGAGCACCTCTCCTACAAAGACAGGCTGAGGGAGCTGGGCTTGTTCAGCCTGGAGAAAAGAAGGCTGCGGGGTGACCTCATTGCAGCCTTTCAGTACCTAAAGGGAGCCTACAAACAGGAGGGGAATCAACTCTTTGAAAGGGCAGGTAACTGCAGGGCAAGGGGAAATGGTTTTAAGTTGAGGGAGGGGGGATTTAGGTTGGATGTCAGGGGGAAGTTCTTTACAGAGAGAGTGGTGAGGTGCTGGAAAAGGCTGCCCAGAGAGGCTGTGGATGCCCCGTCCCTGGAGGTGTTCAAGGCCAGATTGGATGGGGCCCTGGGCAGCCTGGCCTGGTATTAAATGTGGAGGTCCCTTCCAACCCTGGCTGTTCTGTGATTCTGTGAACATTCTGTATTCACAGTCGGACAACTGAGAAAGAAGCTGTCAGAGTCTGGAGTCTGAAAGAAAATACTGCTTGCATGATCTTCCAACTGTGATATTTACACAGTTATCCTTTTTTCATGCTTCCAAAGGTGGAATTATAATTTGATAGCTGAGATGCTTTTGGAGGCAAAGGTTTCTCTTTGGTAGTGCAGGGAGGAAGAAGGCAAAGCAGCAGAATTTTGACCAAGTGGTAGTTTTGGTGTTGTGGTTTTTTTTTTTTTGACAAATTTGTTATATATATTTGGATTCAGAAGGTTACCTTTTCCAGGTTGTGAAATCCACAAATGATGACTTGGCTATCGTGTCTGGGTCTAGTACCTGAATGTCTCCTGTTCTGCTTGGAAGGTTCTGTTGGCTGTTAGTTGACTAAGTCTAAGCATATCATATATGTGGCTTTGGTTGGAGGTAAATTAATTTGTAAAGTCAATACTTCCTTATTTCTTCAGTACAATTTTTTTCAATTTAGTGCTAAAACCAGATGATACGTTTGAAATGTTTATCGACCAATCAGTCATCAGTAAGGGAAGTCTTCTTGAGGATATGGTTCCTCCAGTAAACCCTCCTAAAGAAATAGATGATCCTGCTGATAAGAAACCTGACGATTGGGATGAGAGACAAAAAATACGTGATCCCAACGCTGTCAAACCAGATGACTGGTAAGGAGAAAGCTTCATCTGTTAAAAAAAAAAAACAAAAAAAAACACATTTTACATGCATGTTATTGTTTTATAATATTTGCCTGGCTTTATTTTGTTGTTTTTCTTGCTCTCAACAGTTGGGATGTTTCACAAATAATGTGCCCTTGAGTATTATCCCTTCCATACCACTTAGGTCCTCTTAACAGAACATTGGTTCAGAGTCAAACTGATGTATTTTCTAACAGTAGTCTGTAATTGAAGGGATGAAGATGAGCCTTCCAAAATAGAAGATCTTGATGCTGTTAAGCCTGAAGGATGGCTTGATTATGAACCACAGTATGTTCCAGACCCCAGAGCAAAAAAGCCAAAGGACTGGTAAGAACTAGGTATATGAGGGTCTGTTAATGTGTTTTGTAGATAAGTCCACTTATTTTCTGGCAAACTGTGAGCTGATGAGAATTTAACCCAAATCTCACTATCTTTAACGTATTGAGTTGGATCACAACAACCGTGGCCAAATACTTGTTGATTTATGAGGCTACTTGTAGAAAAATATGCAAATGTCAATAATTGCCTTGTATTCTGAAGAGCTGTAAACAGCATGGAGCTATTTGAAAGAACTTACCGCAGGGATAAGCAGCAAAGCTGTTGAAACTGATGCTTGAAGTCATGTAGTAGTCCTAAAGTATGGTATGGGGAAATGTTGCAAGGTGCCTGCAGATGTAGGAGTGCGATTACATTTAACCATGGTATGAATGTGTGGCCTTAAAGCATTCAGTACTCTGAAAAATGCACATTGCAGTTAGATCAGCCCATAGAACTTTAAATTCTGAGGTTGTTACAGCAAAGTGTGTTTGGATCAATGTTATACTGAATGTTAGTGTTCCCATCAGACCAACCTGAAATTGGTTATTTTACCTTTCTTTCTGTAGGGATGAAGAAATGGATGGGGAGTGGGAAGCCCCTCAGGTCCCCAATCCGAAGTGTGCCACTGCACCTGGTTGTGGACTGTGGGTGCGTCCCATGAAGAACAACCCCAAGTATAAAGGGAAATGGAAAGCACCTATGATAGTTAATCCTAATTATCAGGTACTAGCAATATCGTAGGTGATTATTTAAAATCACCCTTCATATTGAACCTGATACAGTCACTTACTGCTATAACCCAGTATGGAGGAAAAAGGGTTGAATTTAAGAGAAATCTGTTGGCCCTAAGCCAGAATTCTGAGACCTACCTGCCAAAATTCTATAGGTTGTTTCCGATTCTGTTTTCCTGAAATTCAGAGGCTGCCCCTTTGCTTTTTAAATCATGTATTTAAAATAGTCAGAAAGTCTTAATTACATTAAAATGTATTTTACTAGTTGTGTTTTGGTTTGTTTGTTCATTTTTTGCATTTATTTTTGAGGTATCGATAATGTTGTTACAGGTTTTTCTTTCCCCATAACAGGGAATCTGGAGCCCTCGAAAAATACCTAACCCAGACTATTTTGAAGATCCTCACCCGTTTGAGATGACACCTATCAGTGCTGTTGGTTTAGAACTCTGGTCTATGACATCTGATATCTACTTTGATAACTTCATAATATGTTCAGAAAAAGAAGTAGCCGATCGTTGGGCAGCAGATGGTTGGGGCTTGAAGAAATTAGTAGCAAGTGCTAATGAGGTATCAATTTTATTATATTCTTGGTAGCCAGAAGTAGTAAGGAAGGAGTTCTGTTGGAACAACTTTCTATAATATAATTATTCTGTGATTGATAATCTTACAGAATAGCTATGATGTTCTTTTCCTAGTTTAGCATACAGCTTTTCCAGATCAATATGGGAAATTAAAAGGTTACAACATTTTACTTAAGCATCTTACAAGAAATGTAGCAAGATTTCATTGTAGTTGATATGTCTTGCACTGTTAATGGTTGTACTAGAATTCAGTACCTGTCAGCAAATGGAAGCTATTTGCACCCAGACCTCTTTATATACTTAAAACTTGTCACTTTTGGCTAACTCCTTTTAATATGTGCTTTAGATGTGCTCCCCTATCATAAAAAGTGGTTAATAGTAATTATTTTTTATGTTTAATAAATCTAGGTCTCTGGCTGTTTGGATCTGTGTTATGCAACTCTGACAATAATGTGTACTTTTCTGGAGCTGCATCTGTTCTTCTGTTTCTGTACATCCACATTTTGCTTAGTGCAATTGGCCAGTCAGCAGTTTTTTTTTTTTAATCTCTTCCCTATGTCATAGCATGAATTTATCTGAATAGATGGGAACATGAGCCCCTCTAGTGGCTGTTTTTACTGACTGCAGTTGAGAGAGAGTACTTCAGTTGGAATGAACCATTCCAAGATTATTCAGAGTATGGCTGTTTGACTTCTTTAGGGCTATACAAGATTTAAAGTGGCATTGTTGAAATTGTCTCTTGAATACTGACAGGCATAGGGCATCATCTTTTTAGGAAGCCTGTTCCTCTTTCACAAGTGGTTTGTTCTAACAGTCCTGTATTTACTGTAGGGAATGAAAGCAGACGTGGGTATGGGAAAGAAATGATGGACTGGGTGTGTAAGTATGGTCAGTCTCTAGCAGGTGCTGTTTATCACAGAAAGGATGAGAAAGTAGCAACAGACTGTGCAGTTTAGGAAAGCCAGTTCATTTCACAGCCTTCCTCATTTCAAGTATTTGTTTCTATGTCTGGAGTTGCATCTGTATCTGTACACACAATAGCAAAAGGTAATCCTGAAGTCTCTTCGCTCCACTGCCTCTGTAGCTTTCTACCTTGGTTGCTGATGTGCCCTTTCCAGAGTCTAACTGAACCAGGACTTGCCTGTGTGAGTGAGAACTGGGCTGGAAGACAGCTGACTGCCTGATTAATTGGCTGTTGGAGGGGGCAAAGTGGTAGTACAGATGGAGGAAGATGTTGCTCTTCAGGTGGCTGGATGCTCCTTGGAGGTTCTTATCAGTTAAGTTAGCACTGCATGGGGAAAGAGCAAAATAGCTGGGGAGAGTGGAAAGCATGAGTGGAAAGCTCAAACTCAAAGGGTTTTCTTTAGGCAGCATAAGGGTTAAAATGTATACATATTTATAAGCTTACCTAAGTGAGAGTGATTAAAAATGCAATTTTTTTTTTAATGTAGCCCGGAATGTTTAGTCAACTGGTGACTGCTGCGGAAGACCATCCATGGCTCTGGGTTCTTTATATCTTGACTCTAGCTCTGCCTGTTGGTCTATGTGTGTTGTTCTGCTGGCCAGCAAAGGTTAGAGAAATTTTTAAGGCATTTTTCTTCTTCTGTCATTCTTAATACTTTATTTAAAACTCCTAGTATTTGTGCAACAGTATGCTCTTTTACTGTGCCTTTGGTATTAGTTAGCTTCTAGTGACTGTTGTGTTTAAGACTTAATATGAGTTTACTTAAACTGATTTCTAATTTGTTTTAGAAAACAGATGAAGATTTTGACTTAAAAAAACCAGATATATCTGTGCCATTTACAAAGGGAGAAGTAAAACAAGGAAGAGGAGAGTTAGAAGATGATGAAATAGATTTAGAAGATAAAGAAAACGAAGATATTGGTGAAGATGGTAAGAGTGTCACTTCATAGTTGGATCAATGTAAAAGCATGGAAAGAACTAAGTCACGGACTGTACTGCAATAATTGCAGCCAGTTATCTTAGAGTATGCCAAATCTGCCTTCCTCTGAACCTTCTTTATCTTTTTAGCAATTGGTGTGCCATAGTGTGTTGATAAATACAAGAAAAAAATAGGGTTCTCTTTAGTATTCCTTCAATTTGATAAATTGTTATAAGTCTTATGTTCACAAACATATTTTCTGCTTCCTAAATATCTCATATATTGAATGCTCTTTGGATGATTCAATTATCTGTATCTCTAGTGGTTACAATCATGTTGTCTTTAAAATGTTTCTGGAATAGCTTTAAGTCTTTAACATAACTCTTGACTTATTCCTCTGTGGGAGCATCATACCCTGAACTACCAAAACCCGTTGGTTTTAATAACTCTTGTTCAAGTCTGAAAATACAGTGGATTTGAAATACTGAAATCTGTTGCTTGTTTGATACCTCTTTTTAGGAATGCAGTGCTAACCTGCAGAGATCTGTTCTGCTGTTCCAAGGGAGAAACAAATGATCAGTAGGTTAAGATGCACTTTGGCATTCAGAGATTAACGTAAGCATCTCGCACTGCTTTATCAAACACAAGTGGAACTACTCAGCTCTGGCTTTGATGCTGTGATAGCATTTCCCTCCACCTCCAAGTGAAAAGAGAATCATGTAACTTACAGTGCATTGTTTTGACTCCTGTGAGAAAATCTGTTGCCTCATACTGCGAGATTCTGTCTCTTATTTTGCTCTGTAAGAGCAAAGCAAGTTGGAAATGGCTGGCCTCATAAGTTAGAAACTAAGCAAACATGAATGCTGTTTCTTTAGTAGTGACATCATCTTGTATTGCTGACCAGAACTTTGTCATTTCTGTATATTTCTGCACCAAAGGCCACAAGAGTTGATGGTTTTTGGCTCTATGAATTAACATCTGACTTTGCATCAGTGTTCCCATCCTCAGAGAATTGAGTACTTGGGCATAATGCTTTGTTACACCAAACTTAATTCATCTGCCCTACCTTTTTTTTTTTAACCAGCTGTTCCTGATATTTCAAAATTAGGCTCCATTTTATACCTTCACCTCTGGTTACTAAACTAAATGCAGAGCAAAATCAACGTAGGTAGCTTTTTGTATGACTCTTCTAAACTTTTCAAATACACTCCAGGCTTCGAAGATGAAAAAATTATACTTTGCTGTCACGTGACTGACGTTTTTCTTCCTTTGAAAAGAATTGCTTAGCTTTCCTGCTACCTTTTACACTTACTTGTGGGTTGAAATCTTCCCTCTCTTTCCATCTATCTTTTGCCTCTTCATATCTGAAATTACAGATAATCGTATGAAAACAGAAGACTCTGCTCCAGAGAGAAGAGAACTGGAGGAGACAGAGTTTATAGAGGATACAAATAAGATGGGGAGGGAGGCTCCACCTTCAGGTAATGGAAAAGGAAATAGTTTGGGCTAGGACTTGAAAATTATCTCTCTTCTCTTTTTTAGTTCGTCTCATTGCCAGCAGTGGAACGTTAGGTAGGTGCCAGATGTGTATTTGAGTTGCCTGTGCGATTTCTCAACACGGTATCTGTAGTCATCAATATTTTCCGCTAATCCTTTGGATCCTAATCATTCCTGCAGCTCCTTCATAGTCATTATCTACTTTGTTTTCTGGAGTTGAAGGCAATGGGCTTTGAACTGTGAAGCACTGGATGACTTCAGAGTCGTATCTTATTGTGGGAAGTTTAGAAGTGTGGCACAGTGGCAAGTTTCAGAAACACTTGTGGATTTCTTCAGCTCCAGTGAGCATGAATTGCTGGCATCTTGAATGGCACTGTCTTAGGACTTACTTTTCTTGATCAGAATCTGAGCAAAGGTTTTGAACACTTTTGCCATGCTTTACTCGTAAGGGTTTATTTTTAAAACAAATCTTTTGTCTACATTTCTCTTAAACTGTGACCTCCAGCTTTGTGGGCATAGTTCTCCTTTTGATAGCAGTAGTTGAGACAGATAAATGTAGATACGCATGAGGTATGCTTACAGCTGGGAAAACTCTCAAGACTTCAACCAATTGTGCTGAATTGCTTGGCTCAGTTTATTAGTATATTGTGGACAAAGGTTTTTGGTGTCTGTATGCTTTTGTTTGGGCTTTACTGAGCTTAAGTGTTAAAATCCTAGTATTTGTGTGGTGAAGCAGTGGTTATGAGGCATCATGTGGCAGGAGTAGAACTAAGCGATGTTTGGGTAGTTAATCTTTGCAGTTGTCTTCTTATTTCTTTTCTGCCAGATACGGATGTCGTTTCTTGTTTACTCTTTGATAGAAATGTTTGCAATAGATAATCAATTCATAGAAATTCTCACTTCAAGATTGCAGTTTGAAGTAAAAGACTTGTCAAGCTTAAGTAACTTTATTTAATACGTCATGGTGTGATTGCTGGGTCTGAATCCTTATACTGAACATAGATACCTAAAACACAGGCATGGAAGCGCAAGCTTGTAAGTTCTGAGGCCCAAAGTGGAAACAAAAACAGGTTGGGAGCGTGGTTTTCTTCACAGAATGCATGGAATAGAGAGAGATACCCCAGAAGGGTAACCTGTCTGATGATCAGGAAATAGACTAAGAGTATTTATGCATTCACTACTCTCTTTATTTTAATACACTAAACTACAGTAAACTACAACTTCACTGATAAGGTAGAAGGTAGCTCTGCTTTATTTAGCTTATATATTATTATAAACAAACAGTTCATTCCAGAACAGAAATTGGCTAGGAAAATCTTACTAGTGTGTGACTGTAGTGTATTTCTAATGTAGTTCTGTTCACGAAGTAAAACTAATTTCTCCTGCAGAAGATGAGAGTAAATATGGGGAAGATATTGATGATGAAGAAAACGAAGTTGCAGGTGGAAGTCAGGAAGAAGGCGATAAGTCAAATAAATCTGGCTCAGAAGATGAGGTGAGTTTCCTCTGTGAAACTGTATCTTCTATGAGTTCACACTGCTTTAACAGAAATTCGTCACTGATTACCCCTTTCTAGATTCTCCTTTTTGTAACAAGCTTGTTCTTGTACATTTGCCTTAGAATGCAGTGTCTGATAAACCCATTAACCCTTTATTTGTGAAAGTAGTAACAAGAGCTGAACATATGACTGATACTGTGTTATGGGATATGGAGAGGTTACGTCTTGCTCTTACCTATTTTCAGAGTGTCTGAGTTTCTGACATGACAAAGCTAGTGACCTACTTAGGAGGTTGCATGCATGCCATGTTCTCAGGCCAGTAGTGCCACCTTCTGGGAACTATGCCTTCTGAATCAGGTGCTTCCATTAGGAAATGCAGAAAAGTGAGAAACAAGGCGTTGTCTGGGAATGGAGCCTCAGTAAGCCGAGTGCTTCTCAAGTGAGAAGAACAGACAGCTGATTTAAGAGCAGTCTGTTCTGTTTGTAGCTCTCCAAGACAGGAAGTAACAATGTTTTAAATGCTTCTTGCTTAAGAAGTGAAAATGAAAATTAGTATAATGTACACTTGAAGGAATTTGCTAAATTAATTCAAAGGCATTGCTTTTAAACTAGTGAGTAAATGGGGAATAATAAAATTTCTGATGTTAAGTTTAGATGTGCTATCCTTCTTCTGAATTCAGAAGGAAAAGCCTTTTACTCACTTTGTTTATCATAAAATCATAGAATGGCCTGGGTTGGAAGGGACCTCAAGGATCATGAAGCTCCAACCCCCCCCCCCACCACAGGCAGGACTTCAAACCTCCATTTCTAATACCAGACCAGGCTGCCCAGGGCCCCATCCAATCCGGCCTTGAACACCTCCAGGGACGGGGCATCCACAACCTCTCTGGGCAGCCTGTTCCAGCACCTCACCACTCTCTCTGTAAAGAACTTCCCCCTGACATCCAACCTAAAGCTTCCCTCCCTCAATTTAAAACCTTTTCCCCTTGTAAAATCATGTTTATACATTACCTTGTTTATCATTAGTGTGATATTGCAGGGAAAAAAATCTATCATTTAAGTATTGTATTGAGTGATAATATGATTTGGGAGTAGGGAGGAATAAATAACGTAAGTTTGGAGGATTAAATGCACATTGCTTAAGAATGTGAATGCTGATTTATTTTCTTCCTTCAGATGACAGTAGCTGATGAAACTGCAGGCTCTGGGGATGGTCCGCTGAAGTCAGTGCGCAAAAGAAGAGTACAAAAGGACTGAGTTCTTTGCAGCTAGTATTTCTAGCTGTAAACAGTACTAACTTATGACATGCCACTGGAACGGGCCTGACAGCATGCAGGTTCCTGAGATGTGAAGGGAAAAACGGGACTCGTTGCTACTTATTCTCTCTCGAATCTCTTAACCTCTTTTAACCTTCCCAACATTCCTTGATGCCCTTTTTTTTTTTAACAAGAAATACTATCTGTGAGGAGTTACCTAATGTTTCACACTTAGAATAAAAGTGAAGCTGCGAGTTGGCCAACTGATTTCACAAAGCAGTTTCTTAAGATTTGAAGATTCTTAGAAACCAATATGAGTTAGAGATGAAAAATGTTACTTTGAATATTTTTAAGAACATGAATAAATATTTTTGCAGCTCTAGCACAAAATCAGCTGTTTACACATTTGAACTAAAAGAGTTGCAGTATAGGTGAAGCATATACAGTTCTCGTTGTTGAGAGAAAAGGTATTTTTTTCTGTGCAGAGCTAAATGCAATAATTGTTTTTGTATGATCATTTAGTGCTAGCGACAATTTTTCTTGTAAATTATTTCTTTTAGTTGATACTGTTACAGACTGGTCACCTGTTCGCTTTAAACATGGGTTATAGTAATTATTTTTAAGAGATAGTTTAAAATGAAATACTCAGAGAAGTGGTTAACTGACGTGACTTATTTTGCTTTTGAATGCAGATATCAAATCTACAGAAGTGATATATTGATTTTTTCAAGCTTTTATAGCTCTCGTGTTCCGAGCCAAAACGGCATAGATTTTGTTTATAGAATATTTGCTGAGTGTACAATGTGTATTAAAAATATTTAATAATTATTGTTTAACATGAGATTGATTAATATAGATAAGAATTTTTGATGGATTTTTTTTTTTACAGATGTGAGTACCTGGGCTTTCTTTTAATATAGTTTAAATAAACTGCATATCGTAAGAGAAACTGCTGAAGTTCAACTGTGTATCAAAACAAACCAACAAAACTGCAGCTTTTGGAATCCTGCTCCTGCTTGGCAGCTGCCTTGAATATGAGTGAGTTGTAAACTGCTAGGAAAAGCAAGGCATAGGCTAAAACCATTTAGAAGTTTGTTAATTCATAAAGAACTTTTTGCCAAGGAAATCTGTTAGTTTACTTATAAACACTTTTAAGTCTACGAAGATTTTGTTGTTTTCCTTGGTCTGCTATTACTTAATAGGAAGTTGGTAACAATTTTTAGCTGACTCTTCTGAAGAAGCCAGTCTGCACAGGTATTTATATTGAAGTCAAAGAGTACTGCATTCTGTTCTGTGTGGAGAAATACAGGGAGAGGCCACAGTGAGAAATGTTAAGTGCAACCATTTGATCCCCTTTAGGGTCCGTGAGCTAATAAGTAATGACTCCTGATTTCCCCCTTTACCCCGAGACTTTGCAATAACAGATAGCTGTTACCAATGAGGTGTTCTGCAAACAACAGAAGGAACCTGGGCAATGGGATGAGTTTGGATTGCTGATCACTGTAGCTTTTTGGGAGCATTTCAGTGCTGTGACTGAATCCCATCTGAGTCTAGTAAAAGTCCTTTGGAATTGTTACAGTGTTTAAGTGTGGGCTTTTGAGTTGATTATGTATTTATTTGGTAGATCAGCACACGTTCATTGGCAATGGTAGAGTTATTTAAGGGATCAGTCAGCTTTACAGTGGATGCTAACCTTTATTTCTTTAGGGTTTCCTTAAGGTCTTGATTTATGCACCATCAGCATCTTTGCTTGCACCTCACTTTGTAATAAACAACTCCTTATTTACCAGGTAGAATTGCCTGAAGAGGCCATAGCTCAGGTGCTGTATGCAATGGTACTAACTTTGTAAGACCAGTCTCACTTTTCATACTGACTTAATGACTATCATTACCTGGAACCTGCAGATAAAAACATCAGTTTATTGGATTTAGTCTGCTAGGAATTAGGGGAGAAAGATGAGAGCTTAGAGGATTTGAGGCTCTAGATGAGGGAAAAAAAAATGAGGCAAAAAGGGAACCCTGCTGTTGATACTTCTAACATTGTGATTTCCTTCTGTAGCTCCTCTGTGTAGCTGATTTGTGTATGAATGTTCTGGTGAGGCTAGGCAGGACCAGAGGGGGTCGTGGAAGGGTGTGATCTCACAATTTCCTCCTCCATTGGCTTCCATGATAATAAAGGTAGGACAAAATAAGAATTCTGGTTTCTGTCTAATGTAGAGCTAGGTACGTGTGTAGATGAAGGTAACATCATCCATCTCTTAAAATCAACCCATGTGGAGATTGGCAGGACTTAGCATTGAGAACACAGGATGCAGTCTGCCAAGTCTGTCTTATTTCTTGTAGCTTACACAGAAGAGTATGCTAAGATTCACAGGTGAAAATACCACGTGAGTCAGTCTCAGAGCTTACTGAAAACAGTAATTAACCCACTTCTAATCCCAACACTTGATAATTACATCCAGTCTTTCAGACACTTAACTATGTAGAAGCAGTAAAGACAATAGCAATCCATTTTAGGCTTTATAGATGTTAAACCAAACTGAGACAAATCAGAAGTTTTTATTTAGTGTAAAGTCAGAAATACAACATCTTTAAAATGCTCATAAGTTAAATGAAGGCCGCAGTAATGGGATGAAAAATGGTATATAGATTAAGTGACTACTATATGCAGAGTGATGGATAAAATATCACTATCCAATCTTACAATACACAACCATGATTTTGAGATTACTAGATCTCAGAACTGCTCAAGTCTATTAAGTGCATGCTGTGTTACTACTTGGTGTTTGTGGATGTCTCCCACAGTGTGGGTGGAGATGTGCAGTGACATGGCCTGAAAGCTAGAATGGCTGTAGTGCAGTTTTTAGAAGTCAGATGCTTGGTGAGGTGTGTGTCTTCCCGCTAGACATTTCTGCATGTATTCAAAATCTCAGACAGCAATGTGACAAAGCAATCCAGAGATGTTTAATAGTAACGCTAGCTGCTCATAGGACCCTATGACACAAACAGTATCAGCCACGTGTGCCTTGGTGGGTGAGACTTTTGGTCATCTCCTTTCTTGACACAGACTTTGTAAACAACCTTCAAGCCACAAAATATTAGTGCTTTGTTTTTAGTCATTTTAACTCTGCTGAGGTTCCAGTGAGTGCTTTACAGTCATTTTAAATAGAGAGAAATGGGAGATCTCACAATAACAGCTTACAGATGAGGAATAGCAGTGCTTAGCTGCCAAGGACCTTGTGTTTTGAGATGGATTTATTCTGCCATGACATCCACTCATTCATTTCCTCCAGCTTTACTTTACACAATCTATCACAGCAAAACAGAAAGAGAAGCTTACACTAATAGTTCCCTTTTGTTAAAAGGTAAAGTAAAATGACTTCATTACTAAAGAGACAGATCTCAGTTTTAGGTGACATCCATGAGAAATCCATGCTGCTATATGGCAAGGTGAAAAGACCTAATGGTACCAAGCTAAAATTAACAGTGCTGTTTGTATTTCAGCTCCTGCTCTTCTCTAATACCGATTATGCTAGATGTAGCCTTTCTAGGGGAAGTGCTGGCACCCAGAATCTGGGCTGAGTTCCTTCTAACAAAGCCAATCCAGTAAACTAAAACAGGACACCGTGACACCAGGCATTGCTCGTTGCAGCCCAGATCTGACTGACAACAGCCTCTTCTGTTTTGGATGGTTTTGTGCTATGTCTCTAGAGGTACTTCACAAGCTCTGGCCCTGTGGCAGGTAAACAGCTGCTGTAAGGCCTGAAGCAAGGACAAGTTTGGCACTTCAGGAGGAAAGTAAAAAGGTGGCAAGGAAGGACTTGTTCTCAGCTTCTCGCTACTCCATCCTGTTCACAATGAGCATGAGGAAGAACACTGCTGGCTTTCTGTTTGTCAAACTTATTACTCAGGTTTTGGGTGAGTTTGGTTGGATAGTGTGTTACAACACAGAACCTGACCTTTCTTTAAGGAAAGGAAGTTAAAATAGTTTGAAGCGTAGATCTTATAAATGATACACATTAATATTGCATCCATTTGATATTTCCCTGATGCAAGTTACTTATCCTTGTTCACTTTAACTTAACCCTTTCCAAAAAACTTTGTTGTTTTCCTGCATGCAAACTGTACAAATTATATCAGACTGTTACTGCTTTACAAAAATTCCTAACTGGTATATAGGCTTCTGTTTAAAGCTGTTTTGCAGAGATGTGAACGGTACTAAACAGTAATCTATCAACAGTTGAGGTGAAAAAGGTGATGCAATTAGCCTTTGAATAATTTTACCAAGTAAGTTTTCAACATCATTTTATAACTATCATTTTTCTAGTCAAGAACACCAAGACCTCTAAGAAAGCCAACAAGACATGTTTGTTTAACTTGACAAACTGAATCCCATTCTTAACAAGATATGCTCATTTTTAATACAAATATGAAAGTCTAGTAAGTCTCTACACTATAATTGCACATTGCTTAATATACAAACTTGCATCTCCTGTTCATGATAATGTTCTTAATTCTGCTTATCACTGAAGTTTATAATCTTCAGGTATCCAGTGAAGCCACAAACTAAGATAATTTTAGCTCATGTAGCCTATGCCAATTAAAACAAAAAAGACAGCAGCAATACAATGACATCGCTTGTGAGCCAACCCCTACTTCCTTTTGCTTTTTGTGTCAGTGGTTTGGAAAACACTAGATGCTGACATCAGATTTTCTATATACTGTCCAAGAACTTGATTTTCTGATTTCAGTTTCAAGTTTTCTTCCTTAACAGCATCTACTCGTGCTGAGAGATCTGTGAAGGTGACATTGTAAGAAAAAAAAAAGAAATTAGACACGTGCATACAATAATGAATATATTCTACATCAGACCATCTGGGTTTTTCTTAATGTGGGAAACACTGCTTTAAGGTATTGCTTTAGATAAAACCTGGGAGTACCACAGTAGGTGGTACAGAAAGTATTTCAAATCTACTTTCCCTGTATTATGCTGTTAATCTGTGTTCTTTCACTGACTCTTGGAATTAAGTTACTGCAGCTCAACTATTTGGAAACGAAGATGTAGGTCAGCTAAGGATCCTGGGAAGTTAAATGTATCACCCCTTCAGCCTGTTGTGTGTCGTGAGCAAACACTGCATTACAGAAGAGGGGAAGAAGAAGCTGACATCACTACTGTTTCTGAAGCCTTGTTTGTATCCTTTCAGCTGCGTAAGTGATGTACTTCTACCCAACAGCACTGTCAGCCTAGGACAGCACAGGACAGTGAGGTTCTCCTCTTTCACTTACATCGTGCTTAGGAAAAATCTGAGTGCCGAACTGCTAACCTTCAAGTGTGTGCTGCAGTTCCAAAACTTGATTAATAAGCCGTGTTTTCTCTTCTAATTCCACCTGATTCTCAGCCTCAACAGCTGCAACAAATCATAGGAGCTTTAATGTAATAGCTGGGAATTATACTAGGTAGAAAAAATAACAGTGAAGAAGAAGAACATTAAGAACTTATACCGTCCATGTCAGCATTCATCATTGTAGAAGGGGCTCTTTCTGCTTTAGAACTCAGCCGGCCCGAGCGACGGTCTGCTCAAGGAAAGAAGGGAACAGAAAATTGAGGCTGTGGCTGTCGATTCCCCTCGGCTCCATCACCCAGCGCTGTGCAGCCGATCTTTCTGGAAGCGGCTCCCGCAGAGGCCGAGCGGCAGCAGCCTCCCGCTCTCACCGCCCATCCCGTTCCGTTTCAGGGCAGCCGCGGTACGGCCGGACCCGGCCGCTTCGTTCCCCTCCGCCAGCCCTCGCCCCACCTCCGCGGCCCTACGGAGCATCCAGGACCTCGGGAGCGGCTGCCTCCGGCGGCGGGGCCCGGGTTGGCGGCGGCCCGACGCGAGGAGCGCTCCGATCCACCCCCCGGGAGCGGCCGGCCGCCTCCCCGCGCCGCCCCCAGCACCGACCGTCCCGCCGCGTCCCCACCTGGCGCTCCCGCGGGCTGCGCAGCGCCGGCCCGGCCGCAGCCCCGCCGTTCGTTCCGCTCTTCCTTCCTTTCCTCCCGCCGCGCCTGCGCCAGCGCCGCGCCTGCGCCGGGCTCGGCCGTGCAGCGCGGGTGGGAGCTTGGAACGAGCCGTGCCGCCTTCCTAGCGCGGGCACTGTGACTCCGGGCTGCTAAAAGCTGTTCTTCTAAACGCTAACCCGGCACGGAGCGGCACGCATCTGCTTCCCTGCTCTTTCCCCTCTCGCTGAGAAGGGTGCGATAAGTGCCAGCCCCCCGCAGGTCCGTGCAGGTGGTCAGCCCTGCTGTGCGGCTGGTTTGGGGGTGCTTAGCACGAGGCTGGCGGATTTGGTAGAACGTGTGTTCACAGAGCTGTTCTGCTTTGGTTCTGTTGTTGGTCAGCTTACTGCTTTCTACCTCAGAGAAAATACGTGAAGTGAAATAATAGCATATGCTGGAAGTTACTGTTTTCTGATACGTAGCAGTATTCCAGCATGCATTCTGTGGTTTAAAGGACTTGGAGGGTCCTCCTTGCTGGAAGCTGGGGTGCTGCCCGAAGTGGCGTCCTGCAGCAGTTTGTTAAGCTGTTTTTACACTTAAATTCTCCATCCCTTTGCTTCAGGTAAGTGGGTTTTCTGACTGAAGAGCTACAAAGAGAGCTTGTAATGCTGAGCAGCCTCAGAGCTCCCGAAGTCAGAACTGACTGAGATTAACCAAGAACCAATGCTAATCCCTTTCTTATTAATTCATTCTGTATCCTCTAAGGCAGTTTTTTTCAAAGCCAGGGAGTGCTCCCAATGCTGTCACCTGTGTTATATTCAATTTAGAATGGTGACAGTTACTTTACAGATGCAATCACTTAGACTTAGCATGTGTACTACGTTCCAATTAAGACTTCCTAAAACTACCCAACATCACTAGAAAAATGAATTTGTTTATTATTAATTAATTGATTAATGTTATTAATTTCACTAAAAGAGCTTTTTTTGTTTAAAATAGCAACAATCTCTCTTAGGACATAAAATCATAGAATGGCCCGGGTTGAAAAGGACCACAATGATCATCCAGTTTCAACCCCCCTGCTGTGTGCAGGGTCACCAACCACCAGACCAGGCTGAGATCTCCACATCCTTCCTGTACTGGGATGCAGTCCTGCAGATGGGGCCTCACAAGAGCCGAGTAGATGGGGACAATCGCCTCCATGTCCCTGCTGGCCACCCCTGTTTTAACGCAGCCCAGAACACAGTTGGCCTTCTGGGCTGCAAGTGCACACTGCTGGCTTACGTCCAGCTTCTCGTCCAGCAGGACCACCAGGTCCTTCTCCACAGGGCTCCTCTCAAGATCTTCTCACATAAGGCATAAGTTAACCGCTGACCTGAATGCATAGGTCTGTACAGTTACTAAACTGCAGGAAAGAATTGAACTGCCCTGAGCTCAGATTCATACAGTCACTTTTTCAAAGGTTTCATCTCTGGATCGGTTGTGTACGTGCTGTTTTCCCATGGCACACAGCACACACCAACAAGCTTTCCTTTCTGGCAGCAGCGTTACAGGCACCAACAGGGCCTGCGTGGCTGATGACAGAGGCTTCACTGTTGACCACAGGAATGGAAATGCATTCTCCTTTTTACCAGAAGCTGTTGTTGAACACATCTGTGAGATGTTTGCTATTTGAACTGCGCTACTTTTTCCCTTAGTATTTGCACAAAGAAGAATATGAAAAGGATGGCAGTTGTCACAAAATGTTGTAGATGGACTTTTTAGCAAGCTCTGCTGGTAATTTTGGGATGAAAACTGCATTTCTTTTCGCTAGGCCAAAAAAAAATATATATATACATATATAGTAAGAAAATATATGGATTTTTTGCAATGGAGAGAAGCTTAAGCATTGAGCAGAGAGAAATATGAAAACCTTGCAGCTGTTTGGTGTCATCTCTCTGTTTTATTTTTGGTTTAATTTCCTCTGTATCTGTAATTCATTTATCTTTTTGAGGGAAGTTTATCAAGTGCTGACTTTCTAAAAGGAAAGGTATTTCTTTCACTAGGGGTGAAAATATTTTCTACTTTTAGCAAGTGTTATTAATGAATGCTTTTCTTCATTTCAGATGCTCTTGCTATTGCTATTAAAATACTGATTGAGAAGTTGGTCTCGCTACCATTTTATATTCATCTTGATTTACATGACAGTAATTTTTTTTAATACCTGTATATTTGACGAATAGAGAAATGCATCTGTTTTGGAAGAACATTAGGTATTAAATATTCATGGAGTGCACTCAGTTAATCAGATTCAGTAACCCCTGTTGCTTTGCCACATTGGCTTTTTGGTGTGCTTTGAATGAAAGTTGTTTTCTTACACATTGCACATACAACATTGCATGTTGTTCTGCTTGTCTTTAGTTTCTTTGCACTTTGTACACTTTGAGAGGTGGGGGAAGGCCTTATGCAATTATAAACATACTGGAGTTTATTAAAATCAGTGGATCTTGTGGTTTTACTTAAGATTTAATTGCAGAACGCTTGCTCTAAAACATCAGATCATCCTCAGGTGAACTCTAGTGGTTTATAATTTGTATCAGTATCTACATATTGCTGATCCATTTTCTTCATTCCTTGCTTGAGCTTGCTGTTGGCCATCCT